GCTGATGGGAGATGGGAATTCTGATGATGACAGTTGGTTCCATGTCTAGTCCAGCTCAATCCCCTCCCCCCACTCTCTCTCTCTCTCTCTCTCTCTCCATTCTTCAATCCAAGCACCAGGGAAACCTTTTAAAGTGTCTCAAAGCAGAGCTGACTTTGGTCCCTATAGCCCCCTGGCTTTGAAACCGAGGGAGGGTGCCGTGCTGTCACCAGCATGTTCCACGGGACACTTTGCTCATTAGGGAAGAGGGGACTGGTTCGTGGCTCCCTGCTCAACTTGATAACAAGTCAGTCAGCCAAAACAGCTGCAGAGGAAAGGGTTGGACTAGGAAGTAGGAACAACCCTTAGTGTGTTTTCAGTAAACGTCAGTGTTCTGTGCCAGAGTAGTCTGAGGGCATTAGAGACGGAAGGACAAACCAGGGATGATGTCTGGTGTCTGTTTCCTGACTCCAGACAGTCAAGGCTGGAAAACAAAAGCCTACGAGCTTACAAGAGGGAAAAGGTGACCAAACATATCTGTTCACATATCTGTTCACATTCAACCTTTAAAACTGAATGTAGCGGGTTGTCCCTAAATGTGGGTAGAGGAGCAGTATTACTATACTACATTTATTATAACACCTTGCTATATGCATGGTGTTGCTGTTATTTTGTTTTTAAGGAAGGAACTTGATTTGGTCAGAATTACAACGTATTTAACCTACTGAATGTTGAATGGAAATCAAACTCAGTGAACCTAAGTCATGACTTCAATAATAAATCTAAATGTCATATTTTGCCTCATCATATCAGCGCACATCATCTGAGGAGAACAGACATATGTGAATGATTCCATCTACATCATTCACTGATATAAAATTGGTTTATAGCAGTCCTCGGATAATGCATTGGCCTATTGCTTGCAAAATGTAATAAATCAAAATACAGTGTTCCACCTCAAAAAGCCTCTGCTTAAATCAGACATATAACCTGACATTAAACTGAGCAAAAGCAGCCTCTGAAAGACATAACTCTGGTGAAAGAGAGATCATTCTCTCTTTTAGGTTTAGTGCTACTGTACATGTTTGATGGTCTACACAGCAGGCAGTGTACTGGTCACACAGCCATCCGTATTTAATTCGGCCATTTATTTAAGGGACATTGTACTGACTGAGTTCTACAAGAAACTTTGGAAAACCCATTAGCTCCTGTGACCAGCATTGATTCACATCATCCAATCTCATGTTATTGAGCAGGCACTGCACCCTGAAGAGCAAGACTAGAAATTCTTGAGACATATAGAAATGCTTGAGACCCCATGAAACAATCATTCCAAGGCTGATGCCTATTTGTAATCCATTGCGGAAAATGCCCTGCATGCAACAGAAGAGATGTTCAGCGTCACAAAAGAGGTCTTCATCTCGGACAGGCCGTCCTCCCCAACTTCTGATCCGACGAAACCTAGACTAGCTCTTATTGAAGCGACGATGGCTATATTCTCCAGAGCAGACAAATTCAGGTAAGTTCGATAGATAGATGTTTAACTAGACTTTCTAGGAAGGTAAGTAAGTGCAATTTGTGTCTTCGCAGATGTAAAAGTTCCAGCTCAACAGATAGTGTCCATCTCGCTTCTCCTCCTCACATCTCGAGCAACATCACGAGTCCGAGTGACCTAAAAGTAAAATAAGTCGCAAAATAATTAAGTGGATGGCACATTAAAGAATTCAACCAAACAGCGACTCTTTAAAACATTGACATGTCGATTCTTTGAAGTTTGCACATTAAAGTAAGTGTTTGATGCAATGCAAACCAACATAGGCTCAAATGCAAAGGCTGTAGTAAAACTTAGTTCTCAAATATATGGTTTTAACAGGGTATTACATAAGATATGATTGTTTGATATTATCATTATACAACAGGAGGTTGGTGGCACCTTAATAGGGGAGAACAGGCTCGTGGTAAAGACTGGAGTGGATTCAGTGGAATGGTATCAAATACTTCAAACACATGGTTTCCAGCTGTTTGATGCCATTTCATTTGCTCCGTTCTGGCAATTATTGTGAGCCATTCTCCCCTCAGCATCCTCCACTGCGATGGTACAATAAGATGTGGACTTGGCTGCTGTTTAGCTACACCTGAGTATTTGGCTGAGTGTGTACTTGCCTTCCAAATGTTTCATTGACTGATTGGTTAATTCATTATTATAGTATTGTTAAAAAGGAACAACAGGAAATCATTGTAGGTTTAGTGCTACATGGTTGATGGTAGAGACATATATGAGACTATCAGATTAAACTGAGAAAATGTTGCTTGATTGCCAAATTCTACCACTTAACACCATTCATCTTGGTGCTTGCCTTGCTTGCTGTATGAACGCTGAGCGTCTTCTACTGTAAGGAGCTTGACAGTGGCCATTTTCCATGGAAGAGGAGGCGAAAGAGGCCCATTGACCCCTCTTCACCACAATTTTCCCTCATTGTGTCGAGACTTCATTAACTTCTAGGGCAATTTCGGTGCATTTTCAGACCAGAGCAACCTCCTTAGAGCTTTGACTGTCAGTAACACAGCCTGACTACTGTTACCTCAATGAAGGCCTATCATAAAGGCATTGCGGTTCTTTGAAGGCCATTGGATGGTAAAATTGTGTAAAATAATATACTGTAAAATACACAACTAAATGTGAACAATTACCCTTTCTATATTTCAAGAGCAATGAGAAAGTTTACAGTGCTTATAAACATTTAAATAAAAAATAATATATTGTGTAGTCTTTGTATGTATTGTGGTGAGACGCTGAAGAAATACTGTTGTTGAAAATAATGGTTAAATGCTGCCCTCCACAGGCATAGGCATGTTACTGTGGTCCAGTGTGGACACAATACAGCTCAACAACTACTATAGGCCTATGTGAACACATGGATCTGCCCTGCTTCGTTTTCCAGAATTTGACTCACAACAATGCTGCCATTATAGTACCTATAGACCTTGCCTGTTAGTGAACAGATTGAATAGATTGATACTTGGATGAGTATATGAACAAAGGTTTGATATTTTGTAGAAGGTTTTTCACAGGTTTTTGTAAGACATTTGCTCCGTAACTTTTTGCACATAGACAAATGTTGGTGAATCACTCAAATAGAATATTGACCAACAGAGAATCTCTGAATAGTCCCCTTCATGTACTGCTAAAATCACAGAACAACACCTTTGTTTATTCTTTACTCTTTTTAAAGTTTTTAATGAATAAACTAGAAACAAAACACCAGATGAGGAGGGTTTCGAAAAATTATAAAGTTATACTTTTTTATTACAGATGACAAGTGTATTTGTGACGACTTCAGCTGACATTTCAATTTTCACCTGACATTTATTTTCTCAAATTACAACCAATCCTACACTGTACCTCTATTTCAACTTTACCTCATTCGCATCAGCTGATTGAGGCTAGAGGCAAAACCATTTAAACAAAGCATGTCATCAACATTTGTTTTGATGTAATTAGAATAAAGCCCCCCATTTATGCCTCATATCAACATTTTGAGAAAATAAGGCAGGAATATTAAGGTCATAGAAGCTAAAGAAAATAAATGTCTACAAAGAGAAAGAACACACACACACACACACACACACACCTATCCCTTTAATGTTTGTATAATTGGCACACCATTACTATTAGGAGCAGTGTGTATGAGTCTGTATTGTCACAGAGTTGGCCATAGTTTATCCACAAATCACCTCAGGAATTATTTCATGTCTTTAGTAATATTGCAATTCAGACTTTCATTAATTGGGAACACCATCCAAATGGTTATTCATGCTTGCTCTTCATGTCATTATTTAGATCCAGACATGTTGTCTCCTTGCTTTGTTAACCACCTCCAGCATTCTAACAGCACATTTACATTTGTCTTTCTGTTGAATGAAATGTTCAAACCTTAAACTCAGAGAGCCAGTTAGGTTTAAAATCAGGTCAGCAGGAAGTGTCTGCATCGCTGTCAAACATTTCCAAAACAACCATTTGGCAACATGAGCCATGCAGCCACCCAACCCAAGCCAAGGGAACAAAAATAATCTAGTATGCACTCCAATAAGTGATGTTCATCTGTCTCTGCAGATATATCAACTTTTCCCTTCTCCTTTTCCTTCGAGTGTCTCTAAATGATGTATGAAGTGCCAGGGTGAGCCTTCTGGAGAGACAAATGCCAATGACTCGCTCCAAAATGTCAAACATGACAGTCAGAGACATTCAATAATCATATCTGCCTGACCAATTCAGAGCCCTGCTCTTCAAACTATCGCTGATGTCTGGTGAGGCAAAGGCTGAGTTTATCTGCCTTGAGGTAACATATCTCTCTTTAGACAAGGCCAAAGGTAGCCACGCACAATCTGCAGTGCTAGGTTGAGTGGAAGAGGTCTTCCATCGCAGCATATAAATATAAAAAGTCAAGTCAGAAAGAATACCTACAAATGACCTTTTGTGTGATGCAATATTTACTATTTCAGTATAAAGTAAATATCAATGCTACACTGCATTACCACAACTGAGACATGTTATTTAAATGTAATCAAGTGTTTATAGCGGCAATCAGCAGTTAAAACAATAGCAAAGCGTCTCCCCACTCGTTTTAATAAAAAGCAGAGGAACGGGGTTGGAGAAATGTAACCACTATCAAATGTATAGACAGAGCTATGGATGCAAGGACTGACCATCCATGATAAACATTATAGTTTCAACCATGTTTTGAGGCTATACAGTATTTGTTTGCATTTACTTTGTTTACAGACATTGGAGTAAAACAAGCTTAAATGTTGGGTTCTGATGGGGTATGACAGTTGAACTAAGCTAGTGAGGCATTTATAAGTTATATTCTTCAAGAATCAATGGGAACATTGATTTATAAGTCAAAAAACAGATGTAGCAACTGCTGATTGCCCCTTTAAACTTATAATTTCACAAGAAACTTAATTCATGTAAGGGCCATTGCAAACTAATTGTCAATTTTCCAAAGTAATCTACAGTTCCACATTTTTAACCAAGAAGACCAAATGAAATGCAAATGATGAAAATGCTTTTTTAATTGTAAAACACATGTTTAGTAAGTACATTAATTCTTAGTCAATCACATTCTCTTGAAGACATCAACAAGTGGATTAAAGATTTAAGATTCACAAATGGTACCAATCAAATTTCACCACGCCGGCAATTTGGTTATCACCTGTATAATTTTGCTTTGTTGTCTTCAACTCCTAAAACTTTAGCATTTGAAATAAGGTGTCCAGTGGAGCTGCAGATTTCCTAGTACAGATTTACACATGTGTAACATTACAGTAGAATCACAAAAACATAAGTGCCATAGACTTTTGAGAAATGTTACAGTAGTGTGCTTTCAATGCTGGATCAAGTGTCGCTTTTTTGTTTGGGTCCCTTCTGAATCCTTCATACAGTTGGTCAGGAAAGCCAGGCATCGCTTGGAGTACTCCTCTGGAAAGTCACGGAAATGGCTCACATGGGCAGGGGTTTTGAAGTCAAAACTTTCAACAGACACGCCTTTCTCCTTTAGAGCCTTGACCATGAGCTCAACATCACTGTTCCGAATCACTCGATCAGCTCTGGAGTACAGGTACAGCTGGGGCCAGGTAGGAGGGCACTCCCGGATGGCATCGTAGTGGTCCTTGTGGATGTACTTGGTCACAGGATATAGAACCACCCTAAGCAGGAAAACTGTTACAGCAAACAGTGCCAAGAGAACATACCTCAACATCACATTGATTTTGGGTCCCAGAGTGTCTGTAAGAGCCCGTAATGCCCCCCTCACATTTCCACTGCCTGGGGCACTGTCCACCACAGTTCCAACTATACATAGGGTGCTGAACTGTTTATGATTGTGCAAGAGCTCAACAATGTAGCGGTAAAGCATGAATCCCCCATTGCTAAACACATGGAAAAATATGGGACTGTTTTCCACTTCGTAATCATAGAGTATCTCAAGCAGTTTGTGGGCAGTGTTACTCAGCTCCTTGTAGCCAAAAGATTCAGAGATGAATACTGTCTTCAAGGGCGCTGTGTAGCAAATAGTGACACAACCCTGGAACAAAATGGGGGAAAGGTAAGTCACACATTAATAATGAAGTAGATTAATAATTCCTTGAAATGACAGGAAACATTAACCCCCACAATAATAGTTTAACTCCAACCTGTTCGTTATAAATGGAGCTGTACTTGGCAAGATGTTTGTCTCTGCAGCCAGCCCATCCCAACGGTATGACAACTGGTTCATTTGTTCCATGCCAGTGTCTATCTGAAAGGAGGGAGAAAAAAAAACTGTTCTCTGATTAGTAAGCTAGTTAGCTACTTAACCAGGACAATTAATTTAGCTAGCTAGCAAGCAGCCTTTGAGTTTGTCCAATTCAGCTGTCACTGAATTATTATGGACAAACCTGCCAGTGCCAACGTTGACTAAATAGCTCATACCATGGCTCTGGGTGACACTCAGGTGACAGCTAATTTAGCTAGATGCGTGTTGTTAGCTAGCGAGCTACCCTAGCAAAGCTATATCGACAACAAATTGCTCACCCGAGATCAATGCATCTGGAAACACAATGTTGTAGTCCATGCCATCATTTGCCATTTTGTATCCGGTTATAATCTCTGTTTCCCTTTTGCTATACGATTCATTTGGCTGATGTGTTAGCTGAACCTTTTTCGCAGGTTTACTCGCCGCCACTCGCTAGGAAAGTCAAAGGGTTGTAGTAGTTCGTTCATTGGTTCGCGTTCCCTTCACCAGACAGTCAGTTCCATGTTCCTCCATGAGATGGCGTACAATGTCCATATTTGAGTTTTCAAGCTTCTGTAGAAAAACAAATCGAATTTTTCACTCAGAATAACATGGGAATTATTTGACAACATTATGCAATCTGTGGAATAATAATTTCGTCAGTTATGACTTTATTTAATTGGAACAAAATCGATTCACCAAATTATGTGATTAGTGTTGTAGTAGAGTGATATGTGAAATAACTGTAAATTAGAGTCAATGCATAGTAGAGGGAAATGAGTATTCACAGCTGGTCAAATTATTATATACTTTCAAACTACTATCAATATTAGAGCTAACGCAGTAGATAATAAAATACCGTACATTACACACCACTCCATCATAAACAAAAACAGTGTCGCATGCTCGTCCCTGAATGGAAGCTTCAGCTGTCAATCTGGACGTTAAAAGGCGGAGGAGGGCACTTAAGTGGGAGTGTTGAAGGAGCCAGCCAACACTGCGCAGCAGAGCTGTCAAACGGTTGAAATATCTAACCACCGCAGACGGCAATTGTGTCTTACTAATGAGAAAACAAAATGCCACATAAGGGGGACTGTGCGTTTACGTTTTGAGGTCAGCTATAATTCGTGTAGTTAGCTAGAGTTACTTCGGCGTTGGCTGCATAACTTCTCGTTTGTTAGCAAACTGGAGTGGCTAACGTTAGCTAGCCTCTAGTCTTGTTTGGACTGTTGACAAACTAAACTAGCTATCTAGCTAGACCAGCGAGCTAGCCAACTAACCACAATAAAGTTAGCCAGCTAGATACTCTACTAGCTCGTGCTCTCTTGTGCATGGTGAGTAGATCAAATAGCCTGTAAGTTATTATTACAATGAGATGTAACTGAGTTTGGCCTGTTATTTCATCTAGTTGTTGTTGAAGAGTCCATCATCTCATCGTCGTCTTAATGACAAACGGCAAGGTAAGAACTCTTGATAATTCTGCCACTGCTGCCAGCATGCGAAGTTTGCTAGCTAATTTAGCAAGCTCGTTAGTTAACGAAGCCAGCCTCTCAAATTAGCTAACTGTAATGTGACCATTTAGTAACTAACTAGACAAGAATTTGGTCAGCATATTGTATCCAAGCTCAAGATATCTTAGTTATTACTAGGTTATAGATTGATTACAGATCAGGAGAAATTGGGCCCTCCCCTATGTCTATGAACTAGTGTGGTCCTCTGTAGCTCAGCTGGTAGAGCACGGCGCTTGTAACGCCAAGGTAGTGGGTTCGATCCCCGGGACCACCCATACACAAAAATGTATGCACGCATGACTGTAAGTCACTTTGGATAAAAGCGTCTGCTAAATGGCATATTATTATTATTATTAACTAGACTGGGTCATTATTTAAAATCTCAGGAATGTCAGGTATGTTATTGCTGCCTCTGATATCCACCCTTTACAACAGATTGGGCTCAGATAGTGAGACTAAGAATAGCTGTTTTGGTGATTGCAATCCGTTGACTAGCTATTTCACAACAGAAACCTAACCAGTGCATTCTGTTTTCTACCCTCATCCACTCATCATCCCTCTTTTTCCTGGGGATTAACAAAATCTTGCACTTCCTCATAACCAGCTGACCCTCCTGTTCGGTTGATTTACAATAAACACCTTTTATTATAGCCCATTTACACAGCTATATAAAGCAAAAAAACATTGCCTCAGGGGACCACAGGGATGTCCCATCTGTTTTTTTATTAGCGGCCCAGCCCTCTGTACCAATTCCTCTGTTAAAATTCCTCCACTTTTCCTTACAGTCACTTATAGTTGAGTCTGAGATTTATCACTTTGGAAGCATGCATTATGTCCACACAGGCCTTATTGTTTTCTCACCAGCTATGACATGTAGGCTACTGCTGAGATGCTAGTGAGGGAAGTTAGTGTTTAGACTGGAGAAATCCCTCTTTGCCTGTATACAGTAGGCGCAATGTGGCTGTGGGAGGGTTGAAATGACATCCGTTATTTATGTTGTGTTTCTGCTTTGAATGAAGGGAAATGTATCATCTTTTTTTTACCCAGACAATGCCTAGCAGCAATTGAAATGAAAGAACTACCTTGTATGTTCTACCCTCATTCTGCTTCTGAAAAGCTGATTGTTTCAAGTTGCTATTTTACTCATTCTTGGCAGTGGGTGTTTGATCATTGTCATACAATTGCTAAATGGCAAAGATGCTTTTAGTAGTAGAGGAGGATAACATCAGCAAAAAGATCCCCGAACTAGTCCAGTAACTTTGGAGGGTTTAATTTGATTTCAGTTGTTTTCATTTGGGATTGGATGGGAATCTCGCAAGAGGCTGAATTAAAAATAAATAGCATTCTTTTCCCAGAGTTTAATAGCTCCTCTCTAGTGAAGTCTCTAACTCAAGAAAAGGGGAGGACAGCAGAATAATCCAGGGACATCGCCTAGTTACAACCAGCCCTTTGAGTAAACTCAATAGACCTGTGCATGCTGTGAAAATCAGGGGTCCTGAATAATTTAAATCAAAGGGCTGCTTCCTATGATCATTACTATGGGGTTCTTATGTCTCCTTCTGTTCCTGTTCATGGCTCCCTGGTTTGTTTTGGATCTCAGTTTTGGACTTTGGCGTTATCTTGGCTTAATCTCATATAATTGGAAAATCAATCCCTATTAGAGCCATTATTTGTGAACTTGTCAGACGAGAGGCGGGGTAGGACCCCTGTCGTGTGTGTCTAAGAAGATTGACCTTATCTAATGTAATGTTTTTGTCATTCTTAATTGTTGGGAAAAAATGGAGGAAATGTCAGAGGAATGTGATAAATAGATTAGGCTCATTATCCCCCTCATGACAACACAACCATGTTCTGTTTAAATTAATGGGGATAAGATCACACACACACCACACACGCTTATGAGTTAAAATACTTTAGGGGTACATACATCACCATTTTTTCCATAGAGATGCTATGGATAACAGCTGAAACTTTTAATATTTTTGTGTTTTCTGGCTGGTCATCCACAGCCTGTGAACCATACGCTTTGTATTGTGTATTCTGAACTACAGAAAAGTATTAGTAGCTGGCACCCAAACACACCTTTTCCTCAGTCTGCCAGCTGAGATAGGATTTTTGTGTTTCGTTCCCCTTAGGGCAGTAAAGAGTTGCAAAGGAGTTGTCGAAAATGTGAAACCTTTATCGAGGAGTCCCTCACAGAGTTCACATTGAAGAAGAGGCAATGATGGATCGGAACAAGCGCAACTCCATTGCCGGCTTCCCCTCCATGAGGCCTGACCGTCTCGATGACCTGGATGGTGGAGGAGAATGGGCCCCGTCTCAGGTGGGAAGAGTGTGCCCCTCGTCCTACCGTGCCCTCATCAGTGCCTTCTCCTGCCTGACGCGCCTTGATGACTTCATTTGCGAGTGGATCGGCTCTGGCTTCTTCTCAGAGGTCTACAGGGTGAGTTTGTAATGTTTGACCTGAAATGCAAGAGGTTTATGCCTGGTAGGTGTGGTTGTCTGAGGACAGCTAATTAATTCATATCAACACACAGTCACCTCCAAAATGATTGGTACCCTTGATAAAGATGATAAAAAAGACTATAAAATAAATAACGCAAATACCGAGCTATGTTGTATGCTAATAAAAGAAAAGGGGAAATAATATTATTTTATATGAATTCAATTGCTCAGAGAAAGAGATTTTGTACAACAAAAAAATCTAAAAGATTATTGGCATCCCTAAAGATTATTATAAAAACAATCAAACAATGTTAAATCTGCATTAACATTCTACTTTTTTAAGTAAACCTAAGCTTAACCCAGTAAGACCTACAGTTGCAAAAATGCAACATGTCCTAAATTGCATCCTGTATCGGTCCTAAAATAAAACAAATAATGTCAAACAATACATAGGCTGTTTGCACAGGCAGACACCTTTATTTTTATATTTTTTCACTAATTGGTCTTTTGACCAATCAGATAAACTCTGAAAAAGATCTGATGTGAAAAGATCTGATATGATTGGTCAAAAGACGAATTAGTAGAAAAAATGGGCTGAAAATTCGAAATTTGGTTGTGCATCAGCAGTTTTTCTCTTATGTCAGTCACTTAGCCCATGTCAGCAACAACAACAAAATTAGATTGGTAAATTAGTCTAGCCAGCCATCTAAACTTGTAGTAATCATGGTAAAATTATTGACCGGGGGGCAAATAGATTTATTAGTCACTCTCACTCAGATATCATATAAAAAAACTGCAAACATTTCTCTCCGCCCCATTGGCTAAATGTGTAGAATTGCAGCAAACTTGCTTTAAAACTGTCACATTGTCTCTAAGCCCATGGCAAAATGTGTAGAATTGCAGGAAATCAACTCTAAAACCTTGCAACAACATTTCCCTTAGGACCCCCAACAGGCTAGGGCTGGCTCAGACTGCATGTGTGTGTATGGATGTGGGTACGCAGACCCGCGAGCCACTGCAGCCCTTGATGATGAGTTCAAATTTTTTGTGGCCCCCACCCCCATCAAAGCTGCCCATCCCTGCTGTAAAGCAATGGTGTGTCATTTCATTGCACCTATCCGGTGTGTGACAGACACACACCGGATTACTTAGAAACCTATGATCTCATACACTGAGTTCAGCCCTCATTCTATTATTAAACATGTTAGTGGTGCGCAATACAGTTAGCTAATACATTGACTTCTGTGCAGAGTAGGAAAACCCTGCACCTCCCTCCAAACCACCCAGATATGTTATGTTATGGACCAGCCCCCATTGAGGTCAGACAGGCCCTTAGAGCATGCAGATACTCATGTGGCCTCTCCCTATTACATTGATCCATTCTCTCACAATAGACTGATTTGGGACGTGCGAAAAGCCCTTCTATATTTCCATGTCGTTGTGGTTACGACTCGGAGAGCTCCCTCTGAAGAGGTTTATTGATGGGACTGGTAGTTAGGCTACAATGGCTCTCGGGTAAGTGCTGTATCGTCAATTACACTAACTCAACCGGACAGTTGGTACTTGCACAGATATGGCTGTTGAAGTCTGATGTTCAAGTCCTTAACTTGACCTCAAAACATCAGTAAACTGCCTACATTCACTTTTGTTGTAACTCACGTTTTCATTTCCTCCACCCTTTCAATACAGCCCTGCCTACTGAAGTCAGTCTGAGTATTCTATTTTTGCTTGCACAAGTACCACAATAATGTCAGCACCCACCCATGTCCCTGTCTTGCATCTTAGTCATACATACAGATGGAACTGAAATAGAATGCTGAGCAGTTTGCATATCTAATAGGAAATGATAACCTCGTTTTTAATTGAAAGAAGTGAAGGTGTTGCTAGGTCTTGAGCCATGCTTCACAGTGTAGGCTAATGCCTGCCTCTGAGCATGGCCACAGCAGTCTGCCTTGGGACCGCTCATTCACTGCTCATTGAATTCAAAGGGTTAATGCACACCACTCACACAGGACCAATCACTGACTTGGTGGGGGAAGGGCAACATATAGACTCCTGCCCCAGTCTGTCTGAGGGGAAGTAATTACACAATGTATTTTAGGGATGGAATGCCCATCCAACCTCAACATGACTGGGGCCTGCTGCCCTACAAGTATTCCTCCTGTTGAACATATGCTAAATAAATAGCTTCCTCCATTCACCCGAACGCTCACCCATGTTTTAAACGTTGTTGTTTGATCCTTGGGGCCATTATATTGTTATAGCTTCAGCTGTTTCCAGTCTTTTCCACTCGAGATGCAATGAGGCCAGAAACTGGCTCAAGTGATGACTTCGGCTTTATTAGTGCAACGATATTTACCCTCATTGCTTGTCAGTTGTTTGATTTGTCTCACTGACGACATTGAATACTTGCGTCTGTAAGTGCTTAATGGAGTTCCATATCTGTCTAAGCAAGGGGACTATTGATCTACATTGCTTTGAAAATGCATGAAATCAATGGAATGAGCTGTTTCTTAGACTGTGTCATGTTAACATGGCTAGGTATTGAGGAGTAGCTGGAGAGACAGATTGGAGCTGCAGGGTTTTGCTGGGGCAGCCTATGGGTCTTTTTAAGCCAGGCTGTTCTCTTTTCTCTCCTGGTGGGGAAGGAGAGTGTGTGTGTGTGGGGTGGGGGGGGGGGGGGGGGGGGTTCTAGAGAAGACCATCTGCTGCCTGCTCCTCTCCTACAGGGAAGAGGAAGACTAGCTCCTCCTTTGTACTTGAACTTCAAGAGTGGCTAAAGAAGCATTAGTCACAGGAGAGACTCATCCAAATGCTATATAAGGCCTAGATCGTTCCGCTTCCTTTTTCTGTACCTCAAACCTTTTATCTCCTCTCTCCAACTGTGTTGATATACCACTAATATCTATAGGAAAGGGGGATCATAGTCATTAAGAAAAGAACTGAAAGTATAACTATATGCATTGTATCTGTTATTGTACTTGCAGACTTTGACCTGAGTGGATCGATTTAGTATATTCTTAGTCACTGTTGGTTTCAATGTCTTAATATTTCAGCTGGAGGAAGTGAGCAGTAGCAGATGAAGCTCACCATTTTCTCACCCTGATGCATAACTTCCTGTGGTTATGGCCCTCTGAGAAAGCAAATCGATCCAACCTTAAGCTTAGGGATATACAGAGAGACTTCTGTATTGTTATAGGTGTTAGTCTATGTATTCTCTGCCAAAGCATAGCCTACATTTCCTTAGCCTCAGCTCACTGTTCTTTCTAGTGCACCACTGTGGAATACAATCAGCCACACATCTTTGATCACATCAGAGATAATGCTGCAAGGAAGGCAAGTGACAGTAGAAAGGCCTGCTGACTCCATGTACAGTTGAAGTCGGAAGTTTACATACACTTAGGTTGGAGTCATTAAAAATTGTTTTTCAACCACTCCAGAAATTTCTTGTTAACAAACTATAGTTTTGGCAAGTCAGTTAGGACATCTACTTTGTGCATGACACAAGTAATTTTTCCAACAATTGTTTACAGACAGATTATTTCACTTATATTTCACTGTATCACAATTCCAGTGGATCAGAAGTTTACATACACTAAGTTGACTGTGCCTTTTAAACAGCTTGGAAAATTCCAGAAAATGATGTCATGGCTTTAGAAGCTTCTGATAAGCTAATTGACATAATTTGAGTCAATTGGAGGTGTACCTGTGGATGTATTTCAAGGCCTTCCTTCAAACTCAGTGCCTCTTTGCTTGACATCATGGGAAAATCAAAATAAATCAGCCAAGACCTCAGAATTTTTTTTTGTAGACCTACACAAATCCTGTTCATCCTTGGGAGCAATTTCCAAACGCCTGAAGGTACCACGTTCATCTGTACAAACAATAGTATAGTACGCAAGTATAAATACCATGGGACCACGTAGCCGTCATACCGCTTAGGAAGGAGACTCATTCTGTCTCCTAGAGATGAACGTACTTTGGTTCCAAAAGTGCAAATCAATCCCAGAACAACAACAAAGGACCTTGTGAAGATGCTGGAGGAAAGAGGTACAAAAGTATCTATATCCACGGTAAAACAAGTCCTATATCGATATAACCTGAAAGGCCGCTCAGCAATGAAGAAGACACTGCTCCAAAACCGCCATAAAAAAGCCAGACTACGGTTTGCAACTGCACATGGGGACAAAGATCATACTTTTTGGAGAAATGTGCTCTGGTCTGATGAAACAAAAATAGAACTGTTTGGCCATAATGACCATTGTTATGTTTGGAGGAAAAAGGGGGACAATTGCAAGCCGAAGAACACCATCCCAACCGTGAAGCACGGGGGTGGCAGCATCATGCTGTGGGGGTGCTTTGCTGCAGGAGGGACTGGTGCACTTCACGAAATAGATGGCATCATGAGGAAGGAAAATTATGTGGATATATTGAAGCAACATCTCAAGACATCAGTCAGGAAGTTAAAGCTTGGTCGCAAATGGGTCTTCCAAATGGACAATGACCCCAAGCATACTTCCAAAGTTGTGGCCAAATGGCTTCAATCCTATAGAACATTTGTGGGCAGAACTGAAACAGCGTGTGCGAGCAAGGAGGCCTACAAACCTAACTCAGTTACACCAACTCTGTCAGGAGGAATGGGCCAAAATTCACCCAACTTATTGTGGGAAGCTTGTGGAAGGCTACCGGAAACGTTTGACCCAAGTTAAACAATTTAAAGGTAATGCTACCAAATACTAATTGAGTGTATGTAAACTTCTGACCCACTGGGAATGTGATGAAAGAAATAAAAGCTGAAATAAATCATTCTCTCTACTATTATTCTGACATTTCACATTCTTAAAATAAAGTGGTGATCCTAACTGACCTGACCTAAGACAGGGAATTTTTACTAGGATTAAATGTCAGGAATTATGAAAAACTGAGTTTAAATGTATTTGGCTAAGGTGTATGTAAACTTCCGACTTCAACTGTAGCTATGGTTCTGGAAAGATACGTCTTGATTCATTTTGCTGCAGGGGTAGAGCAAGCCATGCTCCATGATCTTGGAATATTGATCATGTTTAGAGAAAAGTGTCCCCATGAGAAGGGAATATTGGCTAAGGGAACTGTATGGTTATAGAGAAGTGTTCATTTTCAGTGTAACTGCCTAGATATCGCCTAAATGACCGGATTGTTGTGTTTGTTGTAGGTGCAACACAGAGTGTCGGGCCAGGTGATGGCTCTGAAGATGAACAAACTGAGCAGTAATCGAGCCAACATGCTGAGAGAGGTCCAACTGATGAACAGACTGTCCCATCCTAATATCCTCCGGTGAGCTCCAGGAAACAAAACGCCTGTCTACCGCTAACTATATTCTGCATAGTTTTTCTTGGGCCCACCATCATCATCATCATCATCATTTTTTGTATAGTTTGAATATCAATCTGTCCATTGAAGAAACATTGAAATATAATGCCTTATGCAGTTTTATTCAATGGTGTTGAATTAATTATTGTTCAGTTGCTGATTGAATTACCCCAGCATAAAAAAAAAAGTAAAAATGTTAATAATCTCAAGGGGATATAAAAACAAAAATGGGTAAAATACAGGGCTAGCTAAGTTCAGTTATGGTGCCATATTCATAAATAGGCTTATTTTTTTACGGACTCAATATCAGTCATTTGTGAACCCTTCATCTTTTAAAGAGACTTGGATCTGTAGCTTTGTGTCAAAATGACATAAGCCTCCTCTCCTTTGTAATGGAATCAGTGGGGTGACCTTGATCGCCCCTATTCCACAGAAAGCAGGTCAGAAACCTATTAACAATGGATTTTCTGGAACGACATCCTGAGTTTGAATTTCATTGACATGCACGCCCTTTCCTTTTTCACTTTCTTCTCACCAAGGCTGTTTATTTTCGTATAGCGTTGTGAGCCTGCACAAAGTATTTGACCAAACCCATCATGATGGAACACATTTCTTTGGATACATAATTGTATGACCATGTTTTATGTTGTCGTGGACAATAAAATTTAACTAGATCTAATCTGTGAATTTGATATCTTCATGGATTAGGCTGACCGAAGCTTTGCATGATCCTTGAGGTTGTTCAAGTTTCTCTGTGATTTCTGCCATTCTCAACACCCAATGTGTCTCTTTACTGAATGATATTCTACAGAGCTCACATTCTGCTGTAGGTGGTGGGTAGGAAAGAGAGACAGTCTGTATGTGCTGTGGTACAATCACAGCTTTGTTGCAGCTAGTTCTGTGGGGGTGGGCAGACGAGCATTCTGAGGGGGTCTTTGTCTGAGAAACCCTTCGAGGACGCACCAAGTCTCACGTTTATTGGGTCATAACTCTAGGGGCTCCAACACTCGCTGTGCATACAGCCTGGCTATTGATACAGGCAATTTGTGTCATTTAGAAAAAACTGACTTGACTGTGACTCCAGCCTGTTAAGATTTGTAAGCAGTACCTCAGGAAAAGAGGGAAAAGAGATGGAATGCAGGTCAAGAGAGTGAGCCTTGTTTTCCCCTCTGAAAATTACATTCTTGTTTGCACCTCTTGTTGGGTCTTGTCTTGCAGCCCACCAGTGCAGAAATATTTAACAATATCCACGCCAAGAGCATTGTCATTTTTCTTTCTAAAGGACTATGCTGGCCAGCTTATGACTTTTTGTACTAGCGAGGCTGCATTTACACAGGCAGCCCAATTCTGATCTTATTTCAACTAATTGGTCGGTCTTTTGACCAATCACATCAGCTGTTTTTCAGACCTGATCTAATTGGTCCAAAGACCAAAATGATCGGAGTTGGGCTGCCTGTGCAAACACAGCCATATATAGGCCCACTCAAATGTTTTATTCTGGACCCCATAGCTTAGCTTTGTCATGTCAATATAGATCAAGATTCTAAAAATAAATTGGCAACGTGAGATTAGCACAACAGGAAATACACTACCGTTCAAAGGTTTGGGGTCACTTAGAAATTTCCACAAATAATTGTCCATTAAAATAACATCAAATTGATCAGAAATACAGTGTAGACGTTGTTAATGTTGTAAATGGCTATTGCAGCTGGAAACGGCTGATTTTTTTATGGAATATCTACATAGGCGTACATAGGCCCATTATCAGCAACCATCAGTCCTGTGTTCCAATGGCACGTTGTGTTTGCTAATCCAAGTTTATCATTTTAAAAGGCTAATTGATCATTAGAAAACCCTTTTGCAATTGTGTTAGCACAGCTGAAAACTGTTGTGCTGAAAGAAGCAATAAAACTGGCCTTCTTGAGACTAGTTGAGTATCTGGAGCATCAGCAATTGTGGGTTCGATTACAGAATCAAAATGGCCAGAAACAAATAATTTTCTTCTGAAACTCATCAGTCTATTCTTGTTCTGAGAAATGAAGGCTATTCCATGTGAGAAATTGCCAAGAAACTGAAGATCTCGTACTCCCTTCACAGAACCGCGCAAACTGGCTCTAACCAGAGTAGAAAAGGGACAACTGAGCAAGAGGACAAATACATTAGTGTCTAGTTTGAGAAACAGACGCCTCACAAGTCCTCAACTGGCAGCTGCATTAAATAGTACCCGCAAGACACCAGTCTCAACGTCAACAGTGAAGAGGCGACTTCGGGATGCTGAGGTTCTAGGCAGAGTTGCAAAGAAAAAGCCATATCTCAGACTGGCCAATAAAAATAAAATATTAAGATGGGCAAAAGAACACAGACTCTGGACAGAGGAAGATTGGAAAAAAAGTGTTATGGACAGAAGAATTGAAGTTTTAGGTGTTCAGATCACAAAGAACATTTGTGAGACGTAGACCAAATGAAAAGATGCTGGAGGAGTGCTTGATGCCATCTGTCAAGCATGGTGGAGCCAATGTGATGGTCTGGGGGTGCTTTGGTGGTGGTAAAGTGTGAGATTTGTACAGGGTAAAAGGGATCTTGAAGAAGGAAGGCTATCACTCCATTTTGCAACGCCATGCCATACCCTGTGGACGGCGCTTGATTGGAGCCAATTTCTTCCTACAACAGGACAATGACCCAAAGCACAGCTCCAAACTATGCAATAACTATTTAGGGAAGAAGCAGTCAACTCGTATTCTGTCTATAATGGAGTGGCCAGCACAGTCACCGGATCTCAACCCTATTGAGCTGTTGTGGGAGCAGCTTGACCGTATGGTACATAAGAAGTGCCCATCAAGCCAATCCAACTTGTGGGAGGTGTTTCAGGAAGCATGGGGTGAAATCTCTTCAGATTACCTCAACAAATTGACAACTAGAATGCCAAAGGTCTGCAAGGCTGTAATTGCTGCAAATGGAGGATTCATTGATGAAAGTAAAGTTTGAAGGACACAATTATTATTTCAATTAAAAATCATTATTTCTAACCTTGTCAATGACTACATTTCCTATTCATTTTGCTATATTTTCTATTCAAACTAATTTCATGTATGTTTTCATGGAAAACAAGGAAATTGCTAAGTGACCCCAAACCTTTGAATGGTAGTGTATGTGTCCACCACATGTTTCTCTGTGGTAGTTACATGGAAACATAACCCTTTTTTTTTTTTTTTTCTCTGTTTTTTCTTCCTCTAGGTTCATGGGTGTGTGTGTTCAGGAAGGCCAGCTCCATGCTCTGACTGAGGTAAGAGGGACCACTGTTCTCCTTTGTGACTCTGTAGCTCAATTGGTAGAGCATGGCGCTTGTAACGCCAGGGTAGTGGGTTCGATCCCCGGGACCACCCATACGTAAAAATGTATGCAAACATGACTGTAAGTCGCTTTGGATAAAAGCGTCTGCTAAATGGCTTATTATTATTATTATTATTATTATTATTACTTACAGCCTCCTATAGCCTACACCTGAGAAACCTGACTGTGCCACTGGCTGTCATGTTTCAGGTTGGGACGTTGAGACACTGTCTGTTTTCTTATTAAGTTTTTCATCCACGCTATAATAGAATGTGATTCTAGAAACATGATGGGTCCTCTAGCATCAGTATAGGCCTAGATGCATTTTACTTCTAATGTAGCTTATACTGTCATATTATTCAATGAGTCACGTTGCAGTACAGTCAGTTTGATGTTATATTACATGAGTACGTCTCAGATAAGTATAACCCTCTAAAAGGTGACCTCCTTGCAGTGTGAATATAATGAAAAGGTGTAAGTGTTTGACTGCGTGCTCAACCAAGTCTTTGTCAGGGGTTTTTCTCAGGTGAACATTGACACATCACCCAGTACAGGAACCTGTAATTGAAAGAACCTTGTGTTCACCTGAAGGCACAGTTTACATGTGCGCAAATAAAGCTGTGTGTGTTGATGTTCTCAATGAGAAGCCAGGGGATGGGTTCATTATTGTTTTCAAGCTCAACTTATTTTTAACCTGTGTGGTGTGCTCTCTTGTTGTAATCCAAATAGATAACCTTGTGCTAATGATTAGCGTTGATTAGTTAGGGAAAAGCTTTACGACTGACTGCCACATCACATTCACCCAAGCACTTGTGTGAAGTGAATGATAGCAGGATGTTATCCAATATGTGGATCCATGGAGATGGGGAGGGAGGGAGGGAAATGTCTCTGCTGGCGCGCTTGCAGTTTCTCGGTTCTGCTCACCCCACCCCCAGTCTCTTGGGCTTTGATGTCAGCAGCCTCAAGCCACAGGCTGTGAATACTGAAAACACTGCATCATGGGGATATGTTTTGGAGCTACTGCTGTGTTATCAGAACTAGCAGCTAGCTACCAGTGCTGTTTGCTCTGACTGGATCCTGACCTTAGCGACGGGCCTGACAGACCTCCATGGTAGGAAATGAAGAGTCAAGTTACTGTGCAACCACAGGCTTAGAGATACAATCAGTCGTCCGTATAAAGCTCCTTGGCCTCCGCCGGCCCCGCCATGGCCCGTTGGGTTGGCACAGTAACCGCTGCACTGCTTTCCCACTGCCTGATAGATCTAGGCTACACATTAGGCAAATACCGATTAGGACCATTATAATCTGGGTAATCCATGACCCACTTGGGGATTACACCATTATTTGAAGATGCTCACAGTGGTCACGAGACAATTAATTCCCATTTTCTTTCCATCTTTCTTAGATTTTCTTTAGTTCGAGGAAAGTTTCCTCAGCTGGTCGATATTATCAGTTGAGAAATTCTAAGAATAGCATCCGTGTAGATGTGTTACTCCATGTTAAGACATTTCAACGTCTTGGGTTTTTCCCCCTCTTCTCCTGTTGTCCACTGCTTCTGCTGTCTTTGATCTGTGATCACGTGTCAATGGCCTTGCACTCCCTTCTCCGGGTTACGGTGTCAGGGTTTGGGGTGGAGGTGAGGTGAGGTGATGTTGCCTCATAACCTAAAATGGGCCTCCCTGTGTGCCTAACTTTGTCCTACGCTCCTTCGCTCACTCCTCTGATCTGGAGACTCTCGTCTCTAAATCTACTGAGTTCATGGAGTGCATCATGTCCACACTGACCGACTGGCAGCAGGATTTGTCTGGGCTTTACCCCTGTGTAGGGGAGGCTCCTAGTGGAGCGCTAGGCTGGCAGACGACAGATGCAGTGGGGCTACAGAGGAATTTGTAAGGTAAAGCCGACGTAATCCTCTGGTTTGGGAATGGTCTGCAGGGCAGGGGGAGGGAAGACAGAGGAGGTAGTGTAGAGAGCCTTACAGCGTGGGGGGCTTTTAGTGCCTAAGCTTAGACCCATGGACATGCACATCCAACACACTTGAAGTTCATTTGTTTCTCTGGTATCATATGCATATCCTGTGGTAAACTATAGGCCTACCTGTACAGTATATTGTCTAGGTTGACTTATTATTAGGCTTACTACAAACAGTCTACCTGAACAAAGATAGAAGACTGAAGCACAAGTCAAAAGTGAGTGACGTTGTAACCTCTTCACTTTGGGCAGACTCAATTCTGCTCACTAATCCCATTAAAAGGTATAGGCTATAGGCTGTGTTCATATTTCGTGATCATTACAGTTCCAGCTGTGTGAAGACAGACACGTTTGAGTAATGTTAACTTTCCTAAGGCATCAATGAAGTCATTGTGACAGTTTGCCAAGAAAACGAAAACACACCAGTCTAGAACCACTGGTAAGGCCCAGAGAAATTAGGTCAGTCAAGGGACCTGTGTCTTACTCTCTACATTACTCTTGTCTACTTTCATTTCTCTCTGTAATTAATTGTCACGTTATTTATTGGATGTGGTGAGGCATTCTACAGCACTTGTCATATAGTAGTTCTGTGTACGGGACAGCCAAGCCTGTCACGATTAAAGCTGACATGCACAACGTAAAAGAGAGCTACTTTCTAGCAGATTCCCACTTCACTTCGTTTTCCCTGCACGCAGGCAATCCCGTCTTTGTCACTGTCATTGTCCCCAACTGTGCCTGGCATTAGATTGATGCTATGTTTAGAGCGCTCAGAGTAACTCAATTGAGTTCTTTGACCGGTCTTCCTGAATGGAATGGAGTGGTGTGTAGAGTAGCCTCAAATGACCGACAGGATGCTGTAACAATGACTTTACTTATAGTGCAGTACCTTATCTCTACCTCATATAAAGTACATACAGTAGGCTTATATATGGGAATTGAATTCAAGACAATGTGCATTTAGGCCTATTCGTAATGTGTACTTTGTACTGAAGTCTAATTTTAAACGTGAGCATGTTTTCCCTCCCTCTCTACCTTTCTGCAGTACATCAATGGTGGGAACCTGGAGCAGCTGTTGGACAGCAACAAGCCTCTGAGCTGGGCTACCAGGCTCAAGCTGGCCTGTGAGATCGCCAATGGACTGGGCTACCTGCACTCCAAAGGCATCTTCCACCGGGACCTCACCTCCAAAGTGGGTGGCTGTTAACTGTGGATGGATGCGTCCGAAATGCACTATATATATATATATAGGGAATAGGTTGCCATTTCAGATGCACCTGTGTCTTCTTTCTACAACAGAGATAAGAATCATCGATCTAGTCCGCTTTAAATACAGCAACGTGTGCTTCAGTTTCTGTTCTTCAAACCTTGGGCGTTGGAAACTGTTTTTCCGCAGAGTACATTGTTATTGTAAGATGTGATTATCTGGCTAATTCGGCTTGTACTTCGGGTTGAAACACATGGGGCTTGCAAGGTGTAAACCTCTTGAGTTGGATCTAATTTACACACTTTGTTCGGTAGCTACAGTGGGGAAAAGTATTTAGTCAGCCACCAATTGTGCAAGTTCTCCCACTTAAAAAGATGAGAGAGGCCTGTAATTTTCATCATAGGTACACGTCAACTATGACAGACAAATTGAGAAAAAGAATTCCAGAAAATCACATTGTAGGATTTTTTATGAATTTATTTGCAAATTATGGTGGAAAATAAGTATTTGGTCACCTACAAACAAGCAAGATTTCTGGCTCTCACAGACCTGTAACTTCTTCTTTAAGAGTCTCCTCTGTCCTCCACTCGTTACCTGTATTAATGGCACCTGTTTGAACTTGTTATCAGTATAAAAGACACCTGTCCACAACCTCAAACAGTCACACTCCAAACTCCACTATGGCCAAGACCAAAGAGCTGTCAAAGGACACCAGAAACAAAATTGTAGACCTGCACCAGGCTGGGAAGACTGAATCTGCAATAGGTAAGCAGCTTGGTTTGAAGAAATCAACTGTGGGAGCAATTATTAGGAAATGGAAGACCTACAAGACCACTGATAATCTCCCTCGATCTGGGGCTCCACGCAGGATCTCACCCCGTGGGGTCAAAATGATCACAAGAACGGTGAGCAAAAATCCCAGAACCACACGGGGGGACCTAGTGAATGACCTGCAGAGAGCTGGGACCAAAGTAACAAAGCCTACCATCAGTAATACACTACGCCGCCAGGGACTCAAATCCTGCAGTGCCAGACGTGTCCCCCTGCTTAAGCCAGTACATGTCCAGGCCCGTCTGAAGTTTGCTAGAGTGCATTTGGATGATCCAGAAGAGGATTGGGAGAATGTCATATGGTCAGATGAAACCAAAATAGAACTTTTTGGTAAAAACTCAACTCGTCGTGTTTGGAGGACAAAGAATGCTGAGTTGCATCCAAAGAACACCATACCTACTGTGAAGCATGGGGGTGGAAACATCATGCTTTGGGGCTGTTTTTCTGCAAAGGGACCAGGACGACTGATCCGTGTAAAGGAAAGAATGAATGGGGCCATGTATCGTGAGATTTTGAGTGAAAACCTCCTTCCATCAGCAAGGGCATTGAAGATTAAACGTGGCTGGGTCTTTCAGCATGACAATGATCCCAAACACACCGCCCGGGCAACGAAGGAGTGGCTTCGTAAGAAGCATTTCAAGGTCCTGGAGTGGCCTAGCCAGTCTCCAGATCTCAACCCCATAGAAAATCTTTGGAGGGAGTTGAAAGTCTGTGTTGCCCAGCGACAGCCCCAAAACATCACTGCTCTAGAGGAGATCTGCATGGAGGAATGGGCCAAAATACCAGCAACAGTGTGTGAAAACCTTGTGAAGACTTACAGAAAACGTTTGACCTGTGTCATTGCCAACAAAGGGTATATAACAAAGTATTGAGAAACTTTTGTTATTGACCAAATACTTATTTTCCACCATAATTTGCAAATAAATTCATTAAAAATCCTACAATGTGATTTTCTGGAGAGAAAAAAATCTCATTTTGTCTGTCATAGTTGACGTGTACCTATGATGAAAATTACAGGCCTCTCTCATCTTTTTAAGTGGGAGAACTTGCACAATTGGTGGCTGACTAAATACTTTTTTTCCCCACTGTATGTGATTCAGTTCATTTCTGATTCAGTTTAAGTATGACTGATTGAGCATTATCTCTGAAACATCCCATTTTCTCCAGACATTTTTGTCATTTTAGAAGCTAATGATGGAATTTATGCTCACTGTTTATCCTCAGAATTGCCTGATCAAGTCTGACGAAAACGGCTACACAGCAGTGGTTGGTGACTTTGGTCTTGCTGAGAAGATTCCCAACCAGGAGTAAGTCATTTCCACAGAAACGCTTATTTATCAAACACGATCCATGACATGATAAGATCAAGACTGAAATTGAATCCCACAGTAAAATATATATAAATATACTGCTCAAATAAATAAAGGGAACACTTAAACAACACATCCTAGATCTGAATGAATGAAATAATCTTATTAAATACTTTTTTCTTTACATAGTTGAATGTGCTGACAACAAAATCACACAAAATGTATCAATGGAAATCAAATGTATCAACCCATGGAGGTCTGGATTTGGAGTCACCCTCAAAATTAAAGTGGAAAACCACACTACAGGCTGATCCAACTTTGATGTAATGTCCTTAAAACAAGTCAAAATGAGGCTCAGTAGTGTGTGTGGCCTCCACGTGCCTGTATGACCTCCCTACAACGCCTGGGCATGCTCCTGATGAGGTGGCAGATGGTCTCCTGAGGGATCTCCTCCCAGACCTGGACTAAAGCATTCGCCAACTCCTGGACAGTCTGTGGTGCAACGTGGCGTTGGTGGATGGAGCGAGACATGATGTCCCAGATGTGCTCAATTGGATTCAGGTCTGGGCAACGGGCGGGCCAGTCCATAGCATCAATGCCTTCCTCTTGCAGGAACTACTGACACACTCCAGCCACATGAGGTCTTGCATTAGGAGGAACCCAGGGCCAACCACACCAGCATACAAGGGGTCTGAGGATCTCATCTCGGTACCTAATGGCAGTCAGGCTACCTCTGGCGAGCAGATGGAGAAATGAAAAATAAATGCCACCCCACACCATGACTGACCCACCGCCAAACCGGTCATGCTGGAGGATGTTGCAGGCAGCAGAACGTTCTCCACGGCGTCTCCAGACTCTGTCACGTCTGTCACATGTGCTCAGTGTGAACCTGCTTTCATCTGTGAAGAGCACAGGGCGCCAGTGGCAAATTTGCCAATCTTGGTGTTCTCTGGTAAATGCCAAACGTCCTGCACGGTGTTGGGCTGTCATTTTGCAGGGCTCTGGCAGTGCTCCTCCTGCTCCTCCTTGCACAAAGGCGGAGGTAGCAGTCCTGCTGCTGGGTTGTTGCCCTCCTACGGCCTCCTCCACGTCTCCTGATGTACTGGCCTGTCTCCTGGTAGCGCCTCCATGCTCTGGACACTACGCTGACAGACACAGCAAACCTTCTTGCCACAGCTCGCATTGATGTGCCATCCTGGATGAGCTGCACTACCTGAGCCACTTGTGTGGGTTGTAGACTCCGTCTCATGCTACCACTAGAGTGAAAGCACCGCCAGCATTCAAAAGTGACCAAAACATCAGCCAGAAAGCATAGGAACTGAGAAGTGGTCTGTGGTCACCACCTGCAAAACCCATCCTTTATTGGGGGTGTCTTGCTAATTGCCTATAATTTCCACCTGTTGTCTATTCCATTTGCACAACAGCATGTGAAATTTATTGTCAATCAGTGTTGCTTCCTAAGTGGACAGTTTGATTTCACAGAAGTGTGATTGACTTGGAGTTACATTGTGTTGTTTAAGTGTTCCCTTTTTTTTTGAGCAGTGTACTTGTTCTCCCCACTGTGTGTATATATACAGTGAGGGGAAAAAAGTATTTGATCCCCTGCTGATTTTGTACGTTTGCCCACAGACAAAGAGATGATCAGTCTATAATTTTAATGGTAGGTTTATTTGAACAGTGAGAGACAGAATAACAACAAAAAAATCCAGAAAAACGCATGTCAAAAATGTTATCAATTGATTTGCATTTTAATGAGGGAAATAATTATTTGACCCCCTCTCAATCAGAAAGATTTCTGGCTCCCAGGTGTCTTTTATACAGGCAACGAGCTGAGATTAGGAGCACACTCTTAAAGGGAGTGCTCCTATTCTCAGCTTGTTACCTGTATAAAAGACACCTGTCCACAGAAGCAATTAATCAATCAGATTCCAAACTCTCCACCATGGCCAAGACCAAAGAGCTCTCCAAGGATGTCAGGGACAAGATTGTAGACCTACACAAGGCTGGAATGGGCTACAAGACCATCGCCAAGCAGCTTGGTGAGAAGGTGACAACAGTTGGTGCGATTATTCGCAATGGAAGAAACGCAAAATAACTGTCAATCTCCTTCGGCCTGGGGCTCCATGCAAGATCTCACCTCGTGGAGTTGCAATGATCACGAGAATGGTGAGGAATCATCCCAGAACTACACGGGAGGATCTTGTCAATGATCTCAAGGCAGCTGGGACCATAGTCACCAAGAAAACAATTGGTAACACACTACGCCGTGAAGGACTGAAATCCTGCAGCGCCCGCAAGGTCCCCATGCTCAAGAAAGCACATATACAGGCCCGTCTGAAGTTTGCCAATGAACATCTGAAGGATTCAGAGGAGAACTGAGTGAAAGTGTTGTGGTCAGTTGAGACCAAAATCGAGCTCTTTGGCATCAACTCAACTCGCCGTGTTTTGAGGAGGAGGAATGCTGCCTATGACCCCAAGAACACCATCCCCACCGTCAAACATGGAGGTGGAAACATTATGCTTTGGGGGTGTTTTTCTGCTAAGGGGACAGGACAACTTCACCGCATCAAAGGGACGATGGACGGCGCCATGTACCGTCAAATCTTGGGTGAGAACCTCCTTCCCTCAGCCAGGGCATTGAAAATGGATCGTGGATGGGGATTCCAGCATGACAATGACCCAAAACACACGGCCAAGGCAACAAAGGAGTGGCTCAAGAAGAAGCACATTAAGGTCCTGGAGTGGCCTAGCCGGTCTCCAGACCTTAATCCCATAGAAAATCTGTGGAGGGAGCTGAAGGTTGGAGTTGCCAAATGTCAGCCTTGAAACCTTAATGACTTGGAGAAGATCTGCAAAGTGGAGTGGAACAAAATCCCTCCTGAGATGTGTGCAAACCTGGTGGCCAACTACAAGAAACTCCAGATACTCAACTAGTCTCAAGAAAGCCAGTTTTATTGCTTCTTTAATCAGCACAACAGTTTTCAGCTGTGCTAACATAATTGCAAAAGGTTTTTCTAATGATCAATTAGCCTTTTAAAATGATAAACTTGGATTAGCAAACACAACATGCCATTGGAACACAGGACTGATGGTTGCTGATAATGGGCCTCTGTTTATGGAATATCTACATAGGTGTACAATCTGCCGTTTCCTGCTACAATAGCCATTTACAGCATTAACAATGTCTACACTGTATTTCTGATCAATTTGATGTTACTTTAATGGACAAAAAAATTGCTTTTCTTTTGAAAACAAGGACATTTCTAAGTGACCCCAAACTTTTGAATACTACCGGTCAAAAGTTTTAGAACACCTACTCATTCAAGGGTATATTCTGTATACCCCCCCCCCTATCTTGTCACAACACAACTGATTGGCTCAAACGCATTAAGAAGGAAAGAAATTCCACAAATTAACTTTTAAGAAGACACACCTGTTAATTGAAATGCATTCCAGGTGACTACCTCATGAAGCTGGTTGAGAGAATGCCAAGAGTGTGCAAAGCTGTCATCAAGGCAAAGGGTGGCTATTTGAAGAATCGCAAATATAAAATATATTTTGATTTGTTTAACACTTTTTTGGTTACTACATGATTCCATATGTGTTATTTCATAGTTTTGATGTCTTAACTGTTATTCTATTAGTAAAAATAAAGAAAAACCCTTGAATGAGTAGGTGTTCTAAAACTTTTGACCGTTAGTGTATAATTCAGATTTGCTCCTTTGAGTCAGTCCAGTTAAATCTCTCTGTACTAAATGAATGTGGGACTGCGAGGTAAAGGGATGGACAAGTGCCAGTATGAGAGGGCCATTTGATTAGGAAGGAACATGAAGTACTGTTCAGGTCAGGAATAAACTGGAGCGCTAGGCTAATAATACCAGAGCAGGTTAAGAAGGCCCCGCTCTCTCATGGCTAGGACTTCATTATTACATATGCCTTGCAAAAGTATTCAAACCCTTTGGATTTCTTTACATTTTATTGTGTTACAAAGTAGGATTAAATTGATTTAATTGTCATTTTTTGTAAACAATATACACAAAATACTCTGTCGAAGTGGAAGATTATAAATATTTGTTTTATTAATACAAAATTAGACAACTAAAATATAGTCATTGCTTAAGTATTCAGCCCCTTTGTTTAGGCAAGTCTAAATTAGTTCAGGAGTAACATTTAGCTTAACAAATAACATACGTTTCCTGGACTCACTCTGTGTGAAATAATAGGGGTTGACATGATTTTTGAATGACTACCCTTCCTCTGTGTCCCATGCATACATCTGTAAGGTCCCTCAGTCAAGTATTGAATTTCAAACACGGATTCAACTACAAAGACCAGGGTCTTTCGAAAGCCTCAAAGAAGGGCAGTGATGGGTAACAATAACAAATCAGACATTGAATATCTCCTTTAAGCATGGTCTAGTTACTAATTATGCTGTGCATTATGTATCTTGGCCAGGTCGCAGTTGTAAATGAGAACTTGTTCTCAACTGGTTTACCTGGTTAAATAAAGGTGAAATAAAAAATTTAAATAAATTAAACCACCCAGACAACACAAATATAGTCATCCTTTTGAACTGAGCTGTAGGACAGGAATGTAACTGCTCAGGGATGTTACCATGAGGCCATTTGGTGATTTTTAAAACCGCTAGTTCAATGGCTGTGATGGGAGAGAACTGAGATGGGTCAACAACATTGTAGTGACTCCACAATAATGACCTAAATGACAGAGTGAAAAGAAGAATACAAATATTCCAAAACCTGCATCTTGTATGCAACAAGGCACTAAAGTAATACTGCAAAAACACATGGCAAAGGAATACACTTTTTGGCCTAAATGCAAAGGCCTGTGTTTGGGGAAAATTTAACACATCACTGAGTAACTGCCTCCTTATTTTCAAGAATGGTGGTGGTTGCATTATGGTATGGGTATCAAATCACATTTTATTTGTCACATACACGTGTTTAGCAGCTTTAGATGCTTGTGCTTCTAGCTCCGACAGTGCAGTAATATCTAACAATTTCACAACATATCCCCAATACACACAAAACTAGTAAGGAATGGGATTTAAGAATATATACATACAGTGAGGGAAAAAAATATTTGATCCCCTGCTGATTTTGTACGTTTTCCCACTGACAAAGAAATGATCAGTCTATAATTTTAATGGTAGGTTTATTTGAACAGTGAGAGACAGAATAACAACAAAATAATCCAGAAAAAACATCAGCATCGAAACCTTAATGACTTGGAGAAGATCTGCAAAGAGGAGTGGAACAAAATCCCTCCTGAGATGTATGCAAACCTGGTGGCCAACTACAAGAAACGTCTGACCTCTGATTGCCAACAAGGGTTTTGCCACCAAGTACTAAGTCATGTTTTGCAGAGGGGTCAAATACTTACTTCCCTCATTAAAATGCAAATCAATTTATAACATTTTTGACATGCGTTATTCTGGATTTTTTTGTTGTTGATCTGTCTCTCACTGTTCAAATAAACCTACCATTAAAATTATAGACTGATCATGTCTTAGTCAGTGGGCAAACATACAAAATCAGAAGGGGATAAAATACTTTTTTCCCTCACTGTATATGGACAAGCAATGACAGAGCGGCATGGACTAAGATACAGTAGAATAGAATAGAATGCAGTGTATACATATGAGATGAGTAGTGCAAGATATGTAAACATTATTAAAGTGACTAGTATTCCATTCCTTAAAGTGGCCAGTGATTTCAAAAGGCAGCAGCAGCCTCTAATGTGCTAGTGATGGCTATTTAACAGTCTGATGGCCTTGAGATAGAAGCTGTTTTTCATTCTCTCGGTCCCAGCTTTTGGTATACTTGACATTGGCAAATACTGGGGAGTTTTTCAGGATAAAAAAAACTGGATAGGGCTAAGCACAGGCAAAATCCTAGAGGAAACCCTGCTTCAGTCTGCTTTACTCCAGAGACTGGGAGAGGAATTCACCTTTCAGCAGGACAATAACTTACAACCCAAGGCCAAATCTAAACTTGACTTGCTTACCAAGAAGACAGTGAATGTTCCGAAGTGGCCAAGTTACAGTTTTGACTTAAACCTGCTTGAAATACTATGGTAAGACTTGCTGTCTAGCCATGATCCCCAACATGATGACAGAGTTTGAAGAATTCTGAAAAGAATAATAGGCAAATATTGCACAATCCAGGTGTGCAAAGCTCTTAGATACTTACCCAAGAAGACTCTTAGATGTAATAGCTGCAAAAGGTGATTCTAACATGTATGGACTCAGGAAGCGGAATACTTATGCAATGACTATGTTTGAGTTATTTATTGCATTTTTATTAGTCTTTAAAAAATAAAATAATTTTCTTCCACTTTGACATTACAGAATATTTTGTGTAGATTGTTGTCCAAAAATCACAATTAAATCCATTTTAATCCCACTTTGTAACACAATAAAATGTGAAGAAATCCAAAAGGGTCTGAATACCTTTGCAAGGCACTGTACCTGATCATGAATAGACCTTTTCCTCAAAACAGTCATGGAGAAGGAACATAAAATGTTTGGTTTGTCTGCTAATTGTTGTGATAAAAATACAAAAATTTTCAAATTATTGAAGTAATTAATTGCATTATTCCCTTACCCTAAAGACACAACCTCCAGTCTAACATTTGTCTCCTGTACTTGTGTTGTGCCTGCAGTGGTGAGGGGGAGAAGCTGGCGGTGGTGGGCTCTCCCTTCTGGATGGCCCCCGAGGTGCTGAGAGATGAACCCTACAATGAGAAGGTATAATAATATGCCATTTAGCAGACGCTTTTATCCAAAGCGACTTAGTCATGTGTGCATACATTTTGGCGTTACAAGCGCCATGCTCTACCAATTGAGCTACAGAGGACATTGTCACTGGGCATGGGCATGGGAGAGGCAGGTAGGTCCCTGACTTCTGACCTCTAACCCTTGACCTCTCCCTGAACTAAACAGGACCACTTATCTCCTACACATCAACCCCCCCCAAGCTAAGAACTCATCTTAAACGCCTGTCTCTCTGTTTTCTTCCATTTCCAGGCGGATGTGTTCTCCTACGGTATTGTCCTCTGTGAGATCATCGCCCGAATACAGGCCGACCCCGATTACCTTCCTCGCACTGAAGTGAGGATTGCTCCGTTTCCTCTGTCCTCCATCCCCTTGATCCTCACATTACATAAGACTAACACTCATAAGACTCATGTCTAGATCTAGTTGACATTATGTTGGCACCAGAGGTGGTTTAGAAGAGCACAGCTCTTTCAATATGTTGAGTTAGATGCCAAAAATAGATAACATCCCAAAGTATGGATTTCCTGTCGGACCTCTCCCCCTCTATTTTATCTCTACCTACTCCCTCTCTCCTCTCCCTCCCTGATAGAACTTTGGCCTGGATTATCATGCCTTCCAGCACATGGTAGGAGACTGTCCTCATGACTTCCTACAGCTGGCCTTCAACTGCTGCAACGTGAGTAGGCCCTCAATCTCTTAATTTTCCAAAATCTGTATTTGATTGTGTGGAATAGAAACTAGTAACACAATCTGATTAGAATTAATCTGATTTAGTAGTACCCCCTTATCTTGTTTGACCTGGCTACTCTATCACCTCTCCTCTTCATATCCACTCTCCAGATGGACCCCAAGCTGCGGCCCTCGTTCCCTGAGCTGGTCAAGAGACTGGAGGAGATCCTGTGTCGGCTGAAGGCCGAGGAGTCTGGACGAGAGAGGATCCCCCTCAGTGGGGAAAATGACAAGAAGACCATCCCCAAAGGTGATGCCTCCAACCACCTCGTATCTAACCCCTTCAGAAGCCTGACTGCCATGGCAGTGGGACTGTTTTATTTATTCATTCTTGAGTAGAATTTTATGAGGATAGCATAAGATTAGCATGATCAAAACCATAAACATCACCACCAGATGAACTCCCTAAAACATTTACAACAGTTTAAAAAAGCCCCTCAGTTACCACTTTCCCTTCAATGTCCACTACACATGATTTTGAATCTCCAAGTCTGTGATCTAGTGTTGCAGATGCATTTGTACTGGCAATAAAACCTCGCCTCACATTATTGCTTTTCATAGTGGCAACTCCCCCTGACTGCCATGTGTTAGCCTGCAGTCCTGCACCACTTGACACCCAGTTTCCTGCACGGTGTCAAGACTGCACAGTGCAGACCAATGGTTTCTTGGAAGCAGGAAGAAGCTGTAAACCAAGCAGCAGTGAGGCTGCCAGTAGCTGCTCCACATTGTAATCTGCCTGTTGCATATCCACCGGGGTTGCCTCCCAAATGACACCCTAATCCCTTTATAGTGTACTACTTTTGACCAGGGCCCACATAGGGAATAGGCTGCCATTTGGGATGTAAATCAGGTCTACTCTAAATAGGTCCAGTGGCAAGCCAGGGCTGTCCTTTCCCTCCCAACTCTGTCCCAAAGAGTCATATACTTTCCCCAGTCCTTTCCTCTACTTTTATGATGCAGTGTCTGCTTGCAGGTTCAAGTTGCCTTACTACAATTTAGCATGACATAAACTTCTAACCTCTTAAGTGTTTTCGCAATCACCCGATTCTGTGAAACAAAGAATAAGCTACAGTAAGGTTGTTAGGTGGGAACCACCATGTATACACAGAGTAGTTGGAAATAATTTGTCTATTTCCTTTTTAATTTGGTTCATGGGAGTATTGGGTCTGGGCTTTGTTTTGTTTAGCTAGCTTTCCTTCCTCGGCCAGTCACTCCCTCTTCACTGTTTATTTACCTTCTGCTTCCCAGTTCACTTTAGTATTTCTACATTATATCTTAGAAACGATTTTGCATATGTTTCCCATAATGCTTCCACCTATGCGATTTACTTCAATTTAAGAATTTGACTGTGCCTCCTTTATTTATCTCATGCCTGTACTGTAGGTCTTGGCCTATATTGCCCCCTGGTGGTTACATTGGGAACTAACACTTCATAACAATCCCATGTGTTGTGCAGTAGAGATGTTTGACTGTTGCTTCTCTCTCCAGGTCCAGGTGAAAAGGTCCAGGGGATTAAGAGGTTAAACTCGTTGGGTCTGCAGGACGACAAGATCCCTCCCAAATCACCGCGTCCTCGTCGCAACATCTGGCTCTCCCGCAGCCAGTCAGACATATTTTCCCGCAAGCCAGGCAGAAAGGTCAATGTCCACGACCCTTACTACAACCCAGGCCCCAGGGCCGCGCCAGGGGCCCGCAAGATCAACCCCTTCAATGCCCGTGAGGACCTGTGCGGAGGCAAGATCAAGTTCTTTGACGTGCCCAGCAAGTCTGTGTTCTCTCTGATGTTCGATTTGCACTCTCTCCAGGACAGCGTGTTTTCCTCTGGGACCCAGACCCACTCTGGAGCCCCCGTCCACCCAGGCATGTGGCAGGAGACCTGGTTCACCGGCAGGCAGTGCCGCTCTCTGCCTGCCTCCCCCCAGCTGGCCCTATCGGATGGCTCCTGCCCCCCGGCCTCCTGCCCCCTCTCTGCCAAGTGTGACCCGGCCCAGCGGTGCCAAGAGGTCAGGCAGAAGGTGCTCAGCGCTTGGGCCAGGAAATATGCTGTGATGGAGATCCCTCCTTACCATGGAGGTCAAGAAACGGTAGAGGTAGAGAAAGGGGAGGAGAACAGAGTAGATGAGAGCTGGTCTCCCTCTCCCATGCCCATGCCCAGTGACAATGCAGAGGCTATGGACTGCTCCAGCAGCCAAGGGAGCCCAGTGGAGGACAAGGACAAACACTTCTTCTGCCACATGCAGGCCCAGAATGGAGGCCCAGTGGAGGACAGTAGAGGCATGGTGTCTATGTGTGAGGAGATGGAGGCTGAGGACCAGGAGGGCATGCAGCAGCAGCAACAGACCTCATGTCACACTGTCACCCTCAGCCCAACCACAAACGGAGGCCATCTGAGTCCCATCGTACTGGTGCCATGTACGGCCCCACATGCCACCACAGAACTGCCCTCTTAAGTGTGACATCTAGGAATAAAACGGGTCATGGAGAAAGGCCGCTTTGAGAGACACACTCCTCAGAGACACTCGGATAGGAATGATGACGTGTGGTGACGATTATCTTAATCAATTCTTTGCAGATAGAGATTATTTTTTCAAGATTGTTTTTATTTAATATACTGAAAATGTGTGTTTTGTTTCTTAAAAAAGGCGTCCCTAAACCAGGGGTCTCCTAATTCCTTGAGGTTCTTTGTGTGTATGCTGGTTTTAAGTCACTGCCTTCTTGATGTTCAATGGTTTTATTGTGATTACATTCTGCCCCATAGGGAGATGCATGGGAGTACATGTACATGATATGAAAGTAACAAATCTAACACTCTTAACAGGGAGAAAGGGTTGGGGTCTGAATGAAAAATGGCAACCATTGAGATCCCTGCCTTAAGATTCATTGTTACTGGTGGTATTTTTGTACTGGACAAGTGTGCATTTCAGAAGAATGAGTCCAAACCAAGGTGTAGGGAATAGATCATGACCATTTTAAAGGGCTATTTATTGAGTGGTCTACCAGACTACTGAGGTCTCTTATGGAGACTAATAAAAATGTACATTACAGAGCACTTAAACAGTAAACTTACCAGTAAAACCGAAGTTTGTTTATTGTACACCCCCACGAGCACTGGAAATGTGATCGTTTGTATGTACCTTTAACATTTTTATATGATTTAAACGTTTGGTAGGCCTATATGTTGGTGTGCACATTCTAAGGATTGTTTCTTTCAAATGACCCTGCTTATAGAAATATTTTGATAGATTCTGAAGACCAGTTTATCACATTTAGTTTTGTTTTCACTGGTATGTCTGTCCTCAATCATGAAAAAGTATAGCTCTATGAATAGAGAGGAATGATGTGAACACTTGTGGAATTGAGTGTGGCTTGAATGTGTGATCCACCACACTTTTGTTAAAGTGGGTCCTATTTTGGTCAGCACCTCTGGGTATAAGCTGTGCAAGCAGCACTAGTTGGTGTGGATGGCTCACTCGCTCATGCTTTGGTTCACAACTCCCTTGGCACCTGTTTTGATTTACTGAAATACTCCAGTCAGTAACTACTTTAATAGGAAATTGCACTTGAAAGGGGAAAAAAAGTTACCTCTCTCTTGTTTATCACTACATTTCTATGCAATAAATGTAAACTGCATCAGGATCGTTTTGCATAGAGGATCTATTTTGATATTTATAAAGGAAGATCGATGTTTACATCTTAATGTTTTGTATGCAATGTTATTGAGATGTTTGCCGATTGTTAACTGTAATTACTTATTCCCCCCAGTCTTGGCAAAAAAGCTTGTTTTAATACAAATCTGGATTGAATTGTACCTTTATTGTTGAAAGAACATGCGTCCCCAATCGCTTAAAAATAAATGTTTAACTTTTGCTTCTTTCAGTGTGACCCTATGAACGTAGGCATACACGTTACTCATCATTAGCAATCAGTAATGTGAAATAAGGGCTTGCTTTTCTATTTTCCTTCCTAACCTCGCATCAAGGGGTTTTCAGGATACAAATCACCATGTGTCATAACCAAGGAAAAGCATTTATTGAAACAATACTATCAACAAATACTGAATGAAATTACCCTAAAATCTGCAACAAAGCATGTCTAACTAAAAAGGCTTTATTATAAACAAGGAATAGATTTGGTTCCATTGAATGATTACACAGTTCCCTCTACTTTGCTAACCACGCTCTTTCCCCACACGACAGCCATCATGCGCATGTGAGCCTTGAAGGACTTGGAGAATGTGCTCTTGACGATATGCATCGGGACAGACTTGCCACTGAGGTAAACCTTGTTCAGGCACTCAGGGAGCCAGGACTCTGAGCTCAGTGGCTCACCTACTCTCTCTGTCAAAGTGGCGGCATAGGAGAAAATGTAGCCTGTCATGAATGCATCAAACCCTGTCCGGTGTGTACCACCCTCCAGCTTCTTCCTCATGGACTCTTCTTTCTTCTCTGCAGCTGGTGTGGCGAGAGGCTGTGGCTCTGACACTCCATTTCCTTCCACCTCTTCTTTGTCAGTCTTCAATTCCCCATCTGCAGACGCAGCCTGTGGCTCTCTGACTCCGTTGCCTTCCTCCACCTTAGTGTTCATTTTCTCGTCGCTCTCTGACCCCTGTGCCTGAGCCCCATCTGCCAGCTCTGTGACAGGGAGAGGTTTGGTGTCTCTGTCAGGGATCACCTGCTCCAGCTCCATATGGGGCTGCTTGCTCTCGGGGGCACCTTCAACCTCAGCTTTCCCCTGAGAAGAGCTATTTCTTTTCCTCTTCCGTTTCTTTTTCTTGTTTTTTTCATCATGCTGGATGATGAGGTCGGTGTCATGTGACAAGGGACACTGTGACCCATTGGGGCACCAATCATAATCCTGGCAAATACAGAAAACACAAGCTAAGTGGTAAACATGGCACTGATTATTTGAGTCTGCATTACCATTAGAAAAATAGTCCATGAAATACCCCAGTGCTGATCATCCTGGCACAGACATTTTAGGGATCCTTTAAAACAACCTGGTTTATGAGAAGTGATGTACAACTACTTACAGAGAAGCGCTGGCAGACATTGAGCGGTCCATCCGGGCTAGACCCAGCCAGACAGGGCCTGTAGTCCACATATTTGCTCAGGTGGCCTGTGTATTTGCAGAACTCCAGGAACAGATGGCGTCCACTACCACCAGCCTCAATCGACTTGCTGTTGTCCAATTTGCTGTAAAAAAAAATATATATATATATATATATATATATATACTTTAACTACCTCTTGAAATGTGGTGTTGATACAGTGCATTCGGAAAGTAATCAGACCCCTTGACTTTTTCCACATTTTGTTACGTTACCCTCTGTACTTTGCTCCGTTCATCTTTCCCTTGATCCGGTCTAGTCTCCCAGTCCCTGCCATTGAAAAACATCCCCACAGCAGGATGTTGCCACCACCATTCTTCACAGTAGGGATGGTGCCAGGTTTCCTCCAGACGTGACGCTTGGCATTCAGGCCAAAGAGTTGAATCTTGGTTTCATCAGACAAGATAATTTTGTTTCTCATGGTCAGAGTCCTTTAGGTGCCTTTTGGCAAACTCCAAGCAGGCTGTCATGCTTTTTAATAAGAAGTGGATTCCATCTGGCCACTCTACCATAAAGGCCTGATTGGTGGAGTGCTGCAGAGCTGGTTGTCCTTCTGGAAGGTTCTCCCATCTCCACAGAGGAACTCTGGAGCGCTTTCAGTGGCAATCGGGTTCTTGGTCACCTTTCTGACCAAGGCCCTTCTCCCCCGATTTCTCAGTTTGGCTGGGCGGCCAGCTCTAGGAAGTCTTGGTGGTTACAAACTTTTTCCATTTAAGAATGATGGAGGCCACTGTGTTCTTGGGGACCTTCAATGCTGAAGAAATGTTTTGGTACCCTTCCCCAGATCTGTGCCTCGACACAATCCTGTCTCGGCGCTCTACGGACAATTCCTTCGACCGCATGGCTTGGTTTTTGCTCTGACATGCACTGTCAACTGTGGGACCTTATATAGACAGGTGTGTGCTTTTCCAAATCATGTCCAATCAATTGAATTTATCACAGGTGGACTCCAATCAAGTTGTAGAAACGTCTCAAGGATGATCAATAGAAACAGGATGCACCTGAGCTCAATTTCAAGTCTCATAGCAAAGGGTCTGAATGTTTATGTAAATAAGGTATTTCTGTTTACTATTTAATACATTTGCAAATATTTCTAAAAACCTGTTTTCGCTTTGTCATTATGGGGTATTGTGTGTAGATTGATGAGGAAATTGTTTTATTTAATCCATCCTAGAATAAGACTAACGTAACAATGTGGAAAAAGTCAAGGGGTCGGAATACTTTCCGAATGCACTGTACTAATCAAAGTTTAGTAGCAAACAGCATTGATGTACTACCACAGCTTTATGGTTGGATAGACTAAGGCCTAGATTCAATCAGATCAAGCGTTAACTGGCAATAGCAGAAACCTGCATAGCGGATGTTTTGGCACTGTCAGAGGTGGAACTGCGTTGGCTCAGTCAAAATCGGTGAGCAGCTGCTCTTGTGGTCATTGTTTTAAAGCCATACCTGCCCCACTCCCGTTAGAAGTTCAGAACGAGAAAGTGTAGGCTATATAGAAATAATTACGCGCAAATTGAAAAATCATTAAATAATGCAGATTTCTATCATCCTAATCGAGGTGTAGATTACATATCAAATTCCAGCGTTCAAACTTGTAAACAAGGCTACATGGGGATTTCTGTTAATGTGACTACGTGCAGCCAATGGCAATGTCCGCTTTAGGTATAATGTCGGGAGCCACTTGTGGATTTGACAGCTCTAACACAGTTCCACTTCTGACATGTCAAAACAACCGCTATGCGGATGTCGGCTAAAGCGGATGTGATTGAATAGAGCCCTGAATATATATTAGTATTTACTATACTAACCATTTCTTGTAGGCATACTCCAGGTAAGAGGCAGCAAAGCGCAGCTCATACTCTGTAGCGTACTTGGTGTCATAGATCCCAGCAGGGAACATCTGGGACAAGTCAGCAGTGAAAGTGCCTAGTTTATCTGGCAGTTGGGCATAGAAGCACTGATAAAGGAACACCATGTCAATCAAGCCGTTGTGCAGCACCAAAGGCTTGCGAGCCCGTAGGAGTTCCACAAACAGCATCCTCATGTTTATTCCATGGGCATCCACTCCCTGGATACAAGAAAGGAATAGAACGCTGGATCACTTCACTGCTTAAAGGTAACAATAAGGAATAGTCCACAAAATCAAATCTGCAGCCTAGTAGCGGTTAAACGTGTGCATTTGTCTCTGCGAATCTATGAGTGATCACAACAAAATCTTGATCTCACCCTGTAATTTCCCCTGAGATAAGGAACACCTTCAGCATATTGTTTGTTGAAGTCAAATCCATGTTGCACCAGGAACTGCACGGACTGTGGTTCAATTATGTACTTCTCACTGCAGAGCAATGTCAGGTTGTACACCTGCACAAGGTACGTATCATCATCCTGGAAAGAGATATGACATCAATTAATGTTACATTTTATGTTTAGCTTTCTGAATGTCAAAATGTACATAGGAGACGTTTACCTTGTTTTCAAGTTTCTTATAACAAGCAAACCCAAGGGAGAGAATGGAGCGTGTGCGAGCTGCATTGCATATCGCTTTGTAACGGTCCTCTATGCATCTTAAAATTAAAACAGAGATAGATCCAATGTAACACTTTAGATTGAGATACCATAGTGCAAGTACATTACATAATGAGAAATCCAGATTAAACTGAAATTAATAAACATCCATACTCACTCTGCCAGTAAAGCTTTTCTATTTCCAAGGCCACTCAATTCCTGAAACAAAACATGCACAGACAGAATATGACATTATTAGTATCAATGGACCTACATAAAGGTTGTTGTGCCCATATAATTACGTATAGAACACCATGGATGTAGCTAGCTATATTTGTCTACTAAACTGATGGGACACTTACCGTATCCAGTGCAATGAAGGAGGCAGTCTTGATTGCAAGGACCATAGCAGGCCACAGTTCTTTGAAATTATCATTCTGCACATCAATAACAGGGACTACGATGGAGGATGTCATAGCTACCTGGTTAATATTTTGGAGCACAACCTAAATGTTCAACGTCTGTAGCTTAGCTAGATAGCTAAGCTAATGTTAGCTAGCTGGAGATAGTGTGATCGAATGCCTAGAATGAAGCGTAGTTTAAACAGTAAAAATTCCAACGTGGTCTGAATGGGCCCTCACAGATTTTCCGTCAACAACACACAAAGGACCCCAGTAGGCGTGGACCGTTTTTTTTATTGTTAAAAATGTAATCACTTAATTTTCAACATGGAGACAATTTCGACTAAATAGATATGGTGTCGTTTGTTAGTCAGCATAATTCGAATTTTAATGCGTGAGATGTTATATTTACTTCTCTTGAATAAATGTTTAAAGCTGGCATTCACTTGGACAGCGCATACCGGTGACGTAGACAAACAACCGTTGGGGCAAGTGCGCCATTTTGGCTCAAACAGTCGGAATTTACCTTCTTTGCAATTTCATATTTTTTGCCATGTTGCTAACATCGCTTGATGTTTTTGTAAACGATTAGGATGAGATCAAATATGTTACATGAGCTCATGTTTCAACCCATACTGTATTTAGTTTTGTTTCCTATGAGAACAAGTGTAAAGTTATGGTAGCATTAGCCTCACCAAGCTACATGCTAGTTAGCTGTGTCGTTCGATTGCATTGCCAACAACACTCTGGCTCATAGTTAGCTTGCTAGCTAAATTTAGCTATTTGTGACTTGTTAGCTCGCTAGGTATGGGTGGGTGCTCCGCTCCAAATTGCTCAAACTCAACAACCATTGGGAAGCAACTGTTTCGTTTTCCAAAAGAGCCTATACGCAAGAAGAAATGGCTTGTAAACTGCCGGCGTAATTGTGTACCAACTCCACATTCCAGACTGTGTCAGGCAAGTTTATTATGGGTGGCTAAATTTACTGGCTAGCTAGCTAGGTCCACCAGTCAACAGTTTCCTAACTCCAAATTAGGACAAAACATGTTGACAAGTTTGCCTACACATTTAATATCATAACGGTATTAATTGATTTTAGTACACTATAATGCACCAAGAGAAATATGTCGATATTTAGCCAGCTAACGTTAATCATACAGCTATGTCTTCTTGCAGGACCATTTTGAGCTGAGTCAGTTTGAAGAAATTGCCAGGTCGCCAGCAGGGGGAAAGAAGCTGAAACCAAATGCCATCCCAACTCTTTTCAATGTGCGAGATCCACCTTATCCCATCACCCCACATAGAGTGCTACCACTCAAGCCAGAGCCAGGTAACTTTACTTTTTATTTATTTCTCAAAATCACATAAAAAACATATGTGAAATTAGATATTGATAGATTACCAGAAAGCACACAATTGTCAGATAGTAGAAGCCTAATGCAAATGTTGGTCCTGTTGATCTAACACAACTTTTTTTTAACTGTTCATTCCTGATTGTAAAAGTGGATCAAGTGAGTGAGTCCAATGTGTTGTTAATGTTCTGTCTATCTAGTGGAGAGGGATCTCAATGTGGGGGATCACCGCTACGCACGACGGCAAACAACTCTGGGCATGGAGGAAGATGATGCTGATGAACTACACAAGACAGAGGAACGTCCCTGCACCCATTGTCAACATTACAGAACCCTGCTGGAACAAGAAATGCAACACACAGCCAGATTACAGAAAGAGGTGTGGTGCTAGCTCCTTTTTCTAAACTATTTCAAACTATTGCCTCATATTTCATAAAACAACTTTCTCCATTCAAACTTTTTCATTGTAAGTTATTGATACGTTATGTGCAATTATGCAATGGACACTTCAATCTTTCAGTCATTAGAATGATTTTACAGGGAAAAACAACAACATTTTGTGAGCGTCTTTGAAAAGACAACACCTCAACATGTATGTTATCTCATCTTTTGTGCAGGTAGAGGAAATGAAAAAGCGGATGTTCAGACTGGACAGAATAGAGAGGGGCCTCCAGACATTTCTGTATGAAGATCAGGTCCGTGCCCTGACCCTGACCAAGCGTTCCCGGAGAGCTGTGTGGTCCCACGAGACTGTGCTGAAGGCCCGTAAGATCCGATGTGCGGTTGGTGACAAGGGTTATGAATTCCTCCGGGAGTTAGGCTACCCCCTGCCCTCTTATAGAACTTTATGCAACCGCCTGGAGAACAAAATCATGGTGACGACAGCCATGGGCTGTGATGAGCTGGCAGAGCTAGGTCTAGGAATCATATCCACATGTGATAGTCCAGACGATGAGGAGGCTTTCATTGGCGTGATGTCATGACTCATGAAAGAGATTTTAAATTAATTTGTTTGAATATGTGTTTCATTTTGGAAGAATGCAACACACAATGACAGGACAATATAGCAAAGACTGACTGTACGACAGCTAGTAGGCCTATATGGTGAAGAAAATGTGGAAGCCTCACACAGGCATCCAAGTAAGAGAGTAGTCTTCAGAATCTCTCTGGAATAATAATTACTGTAGGACCTACTGTAACATACTGTTATTATACCACTGTGGAAAGATTTGGTAAAGAAATCATAATGATGTTGTAATAATGTATTTTCAAACAAATTGATGTGATGTTGTTGATGAAATGCTGCCAGTGATCCATTTCAGAAAGTTATTAAGAGCAGCCTACCCAAATATACAGTATCCAAATGACGACAGAATGGGTAGGAGTAAATATCACCATCTAGTGGCACTGTATCATGTTTGCTCTAGGAGGCCTGTGTGACAACAACCTGACAGAAGTGTCTTTCCTCATATTGAACGAGCGGGTGGCCCAGTCCAGAGGCATGTACTGGGAGCTGAAGAGTAGGGGGCCCCCGGACATCCCTGTCAACCAACAGGCCCAGCTACAGGATGATGTCTGGGAGGCCCTATATGGAAACAAGGAGGACTTCCTGATATAAATCAAATCAAATGTTATTTGTCACATGCGCTGAATACAACAGGTGTAGACCTTACCGTGAAATGCTTACTTACAAGCCCTTAACCAACAATGCAGATTGAAGAAAATTGAGTTAAGAAAATATTTACTAAATAAACTAAAAAAATAAAAGTAACACAATAAAATAACAATAATGAGGCTATATGAGAAGAAGGGAAGGGAACACTGCCCATACCTAGCTCCCCAACCAAGGTGTAGGGATTGACGAGAAAAAGCCCTGATGAAGGCTGAGGGCTAAAATGCCTTGGTTTTACTTGAAACAATAAACAAGCACTTTTATCAACTTTCACTGTCCTCCAAGAGTTGCTGAATAACCTTGTCACTTCAATATGACAGGTAAGATCCATCACAGAGGGGTCCTTGTGTGGGACAGCCCAGGTCCAAATACTGTCACGTTGCTTCTCAGAATTATAAATGTTCCATGAATAAGGAATGGGTTTGTATTGATTGAAGGCAACATGTCAGCACCAATCTAAAGCTTACCACTGCTCTTTAACTTTAATGGTATGAAGTGTCTTTTCAGGTTTAAATGAGATATTTTCTATCTACATAGATCTTTGTAATTGGTGTGACACCTCATTCATGTGGCCATGGATCTCTCTCCTCTCGCTGACAGATGTGGGAGACTAACATTCCACATAGTCCTGCCCTACAGCTTCCCCCACTACCCCTGTATAGAAGCAGCTGTCAGAGCCACCTACCACAAGGACATATGTGGCAACTGCACCGTAAGTGAAAGCACACTTCTTAAGGGAATTACAGATATTTAATTTCTGTTTGACTCGTCATTTGAAAACACTACTGTCTGCAGTAGCGCTCCATAGGAATATAATTTCTAGAACAGGAACACCCCTAGAATGGGAACTGAATCTGAATAGCTAACCAAATAATGAGATCTATCTGTGGCTCTCCCAGGTGATGTATTTTTAGCTTGTATCTATTTTGTTAACTTTAGTGTGTTCTACTATTATGCAGGTGGACTCCAACTCTACTTCCTCAGCTGGGTGTAACAGCAGCCAGAGAAACAAGTCTCTGAGCAGCGCAGGGATGGGTGTTAACGAGACAGACAGCACAGTGGCAGATACAGTGAGGCAGATTGAAGTCGCTACTGTCGGCAACCCAGCTCCAACTGATGGACACCAGATGTTGTCTGAGGGGGGTGTTAATATGCTAAACATACATCACCATCAGCACCAGCAGCAACATAACTACCAGCAGCAACATAACCAGCAGCAGCAACATAACCACCAGCAGCGTCATAACCACCACAACCTTGGGTCAGACACAGATAAACAGGACTCCAATTAACATCATCTGTGTAGTTTCTGAGACGAGTAATAGTTAGTTAGCATGGTGGTGGTGGCTTATGTCAGTGACTTGACCGTCCGATAAATAGTTTTGTATGAATTCAGTTTGATTTTGTCTGTGCCTGTCAATTGTATCTGATAAAGCAAACCTGTACAGTAAACTGGCCCTTGGAATACATTGTGTCTTCCCTACATGTGGTTGGGTGACAGGTTCTACTCTCCTCTGCTATGAAGTCTGCGGGTCAAACCTTACTGAGGTGCCTGTAGGCAGATGCTGTGCTGAGGAAAATGGGACTGATAGTCACCGAACCCATGCAGGGCAGTGTGCTGGACTTCAGGGTATACTTAGGCATCTAAAATGTAGGTTCCAGGTTGCTAGTTGTTCCATGGTCAGATACTGGTTATTCACAAGCATGTAGCCTAAGCCTACTATGTTCTATATAACTAATCTAAATGCACAATTAAAAGTATGATTATGATGTTCTATGATTGTAATCAAAATACATTAAATATGTTGCGTTCCTATGTTCATAAAGCGTGGGTCAGGGTAGACTTATTTAGCTTGTCTTCAGTTACTGTCAGTGGATAAGTGAGGAAACCGAATATGAATACATCACCAGCAAAACACCTCAAAAGTTGAAATAATAAGAGTTGCATAAAGTGAAGTAAGACAAGCACCAAGGACAGAGTGGAGAGGGGGCAGCCAGAAGTAGGGAATTCCAAATACAGTTTGAGAAAATGGGTCTAGTCTGACTAAGCTGAGGAACAACTCAGCTGCTCTATTACTGATGTGCCATAGAAGAGAGGTTGGTGACCTGCAATCCCAGTTGAATGAATCTTACCTTGCTGCTAATGACCTGTGAGCCATACATTATACATTAGCAGTAGGGCTACATCTCGGTGTCAGTAGTGTTTCACCTTTATGTGAACTAATGAATTTCCCAACACATAATCGGAAAATATTATTGTTTGTGCCTAGGCCTATATCTAATCTATTCACCATTCTTTAAAACCCTTCATTTTTTAAAGTTAAATAACCGCTCACAAGTGGGCAAGGCATTAAATAGATAGCCTAGGTTAAAACACCATGCGTAGCAGGTGGATTATCTCATTGCCGCACGGGGTGATGGTAACTCAGGTCACAAATCATCATCAACACTCGGGAGAATGGCGCGCTGGACGGCAGACAATTCCAACGATCTTGAAGCTTGATTCATGCCATGGTTAGATGGTTTGCGACCATCCTCATCATCACCATTATCACAATCACTACTATTCATGCCAACAACACCTTGTTATTTGATGTAGGCTGTGTTACGCGTCTGTGAAAGAAACCATCATAGAAAGTGTATGTTAACTATTTTGTAGGCGACAGGGAGTTAAAACAGAAACGTTTATAGGTTAGAGGTTGAATAAGTGTGGTTGTGTAAGTGATTTTCTAAATCCTCCTGAAGCAAGAAGCTAAACCTACTTTAGCTTATCCAGCCTGCCGACTGACTTGAGTAGGCTATCAACAAAACATCTGCCATGCTTCAGTGGATCTTTTATAGGTAGCTGTCAGATATTTCTGTGCAGGTTTTGCAATTGTGTCCCATTCCATAATTTACCAATCTGACATTAGATGGCAGTACTGTCGTGTGCATAGACATTTCCATATGAGGTATGGTATATGAGTTGTGAAATGGTGTAAACTTCTAGGAGTAATTTATTGTATTTTCATTAGAGTCAGGATTTACTTTATATAATGGAAATTAGTAACTGAATATAACTTATCACATAATGCATTTTTGCAGCGTTTAGGGATGGCCACAACATGGCAGAAAATCCAACTGTTCTACCAAGAGGTGCTAGAGAATGGAGGTAACTAAGTCCAGACACAGTGCTCACTGAAGTTCTCAGTCCAATACCATTTTCTTAGCCTATAGGAATGCTGTCTTTGTGTCCTTCCAGACAAAAATACCGACAGCTGGTTGCTGGTGTACTCACCTGTGCCAATCACCTGCATCCTCCTGTGCTACCTGCTCCTCATATGGGTGGGCCCCAAGCTGATGGCTCAGACAGCCAGTCAACCTCAAGCCTGTGCTCATTGTTTACAGCTTTGCCATGGTCTGCCTGTCTGCCCACATGTTCTATGAGGTATGGAAACAGGGGAAAGCATGGGCAACTTGTAGCTATTTTACCCATCTTGGATATTCTTTAGATCTATTGTACACAGTACCTATCTATATCCTCGTTATATACTCTATGTGTAAATAAGTGACGATGAGCAGCTATTCCTCTACCTGTAAACATACAGTATTTTAATGCATTTTTCTTCCTTCCTTTTTTAAATTTTCTAATTGTATTATTTATTTATTCACAGGCTCACAGGTAATATTATAACTTCTTGTTCAACAGTTGCAACAAGGTTACTTAATATTGCTGCCTACAGCAAGGTGTTTAAAGGTTTTGGCAATGCTTTCAATGCATTGCAATTGCCTTAATATACAGTACATATCTAAATGATTTCTGACCTAAAACTACTGCTGAAATGTCTCTTCTCTGTGTTCTGAACAGATGGCCAAGGTCTGCTAGTGGTTCTACTTCTCCAAAGTCATTGAGCTTAGTGATAATGTAAGTACACTTCGGGGATTCTACTATCCCAGGTTGAAGCAAAAATTGTGTGAGCAGCACCACTTGGACTATATTTACATCTCTTCTATCAAGACATATTTTATGTACTGTCTTCTGTCTATGTGACTAATGTCTGTAAATGTAGCTAATTCCTGAGGATTTGTTTTCTGTGTTTCTTGTCATATTCTTGTATACAGTTGAAGTCGGAAGTTTACATCTTAGCCAAATACATTTAAACTCAGTTTTACACAATTCCTGACATTTAATCCTAGTAAAAAGTCCCTGTTTTAGGTCAGGTAGGATCACCACTTTATTTTAAGAATGTGAAATGTCAGAATAATAGTAGAGAGAATGATTTATTTCAGCTTTTATTTCTTTCATCACATTCCCAGTGGGTCAAACGTTTCGGGCAGCCTTCCACAAGCTTTCCACAATAAGTTGGGTGAATTTTGGCCCCTTCCTTCTGACAGAGCTGGTGTAACTGAGTCAGGTTTGTAGGCCTCCTTGCTTGCACACGCTTTTTCAGTTCTGCCCACACATTTTCTATAGGATTGAGGTCAGGGCTTTGTGATGGCCACTCCAACTCCTTGACTTTGTTGTCCTTAAGCCATTTTGCCACAACTTTGGAAGTATGCTTTGGGTCATTGTCCATTTGGAATACCCATTTGCGACCAAGCTTTAACTTCCTGACTGATGGTGTTCTTCGGCTTGCAAGACCCCCCTTTTTCCTCCAAATATAACGATGTTCATTATGGCCAAACAGTTCTATTTTTGTTTCATCAGACCAGAGGACATTTCTCAAAAAAGTACGATCTTTGTCCCCACGTGCAGTTGCAAACCGTAGTCTGGCTTTTTAATGGCGGTTTTGGAGCAGTGGCTTCTTCCTTGCTAAGCAGCCTTTCAGATTATGTTGATATAGGACTCGTTATACTGTGGATATAGATACTTTTGTACCTGTTTCCTCTAGCATCTTCACAAAGTCCTTTGCTGTTGTTCTGGGATTGATTTGCACTTTTGGAACCAAAGTACGTTCATCTCTAGGAGACATAATGCGTCTCCTTCCTGAGCTGTATGACGGCTGCGTTGTCCCATGGTGTTTATACTTGCGTACTATTGTTTGTACAGATGAACGTGGTACCTTCAGGTGTTTGGAAATTGCTCCCAAGGATGAACCAGACTTGTGGAGGTCTACAATTTCTTTTCTGAGGTCTTGGCTGATTTCTTTTGATTTTCCCATGATGTCAAGCAAAGAGGCACTGAGATTGAAGGTAGGCCTTGAAATACATCCACAGGTACACCTCCAATTGACTCAAATGATGTCAATTAGCCTATCAGAAGCTTCTAAAGCCATGACATCATTTTCTGGAATTTTCCAAGCTATTTAAAGGCACAGTCAACTTAGTGTATGTAAACTTCTGACCCACTGGAATTCTGATACAGTGAAATATAAGTGAAATAATCTGTCTGTAAACAATTGTTGGAAAAATTACTTGTGTCATGCACAAAGTAGATGTCCTAACCGACTTGCAAAAACTATAGTTTGTTAATAAGAAATGTGTGGAGTGGTTGAAAAACAAGTTTTAATGACTCCAACCTAAGTGTATGTAAACTTCCGACTTCAACTGTATCGGTCATGTGAATTAAACAAATATGACATGTCTCTTCCAGGTGTTCTTCATCCTGAGGAAGATGAACAGTCACTTGACCTTCCCGCATGTCTACCACCAAAGCACCATGATCTTCAATTGGTGGGCTGGGGTCAAGTACGTGGCAGGAGGCCAGTGTAAGTGTTGTCCCATTCACATCACTACAGCAGGGACAGTGTTTCATTTACCTGGTGTTAGACCCAGACAATTATCTCCTGTATGTAACAGTATGGCAATGCACAATCTATTTCTTGTATCTGCTTCCTGCTCAGCCTTGGTTGAAATAATTATTATGCTTTTCATACTTGTTCTTCTGGAGATATACAGTACACACACCCACATATTGAAATGCACATGACATTTCAATGAGTGGAACACGTGCAACGATACCCACAGTGTCCTTGGAACTGTTTCACACCCCTGCTATTTGAAAAAGACATTTGGTGCGGTGAAAGCAGCAGTGATCAAACTAGACTAGCAAGGATTGGAACAGAACGGCCAAGATTAAGACAAGCTTTTGGCACTGAGATGCATTATAATTTGTTTAAAATGGCGGTGAGTTTGCAGAAAACAGCTGGCGGTGCATCTTAGTGCAGCATTTGCCCTCCTTTTGGTTTAAAGATAGTAAACACAGCCTGGCTATTTTATTTCACATTGCGCGTCCTAAGATGGACAGATGGGCAGTTCGTCACACTTTGCGATGAAATCAAATCAAATCAAATCAAACGTTATTTGCTACATGTGCCGAAAACAACAGTGAAATGCTTACTTACAAGCCCTTAACCAACAATGCAGTTAAGAGTTAAGAAAAGAAAGTGTTAAGTAAAAAATAGATAAGTAAAAAAAATGTAAAAGAACAAATAAGGCCTACCACTGTTGTGTCGCCGTCAAACTTAATGATGGTGTTGGAGTCGTGCCTGGCCATGCAGTCATGGGTGAACAGGGAGTACAGAACGGGACTGAGCACACACTCCTGAGGGGCCCCCGTGTTGAGGATCAGCGTGGCAGATGTGTTGTTACCTACCCTTACCACCTGGGGGTGGCCCGTCAGGAAGTCCAGGATCCAGTTGCAGAGGGAGGTGTTTAGTCCCAGGGTCCTTAGCTTAGTGATGAGCTTTGAGGGCAATATGGTGTTGAACGCTGAGCTGTAGTCAATTAATAGCATTCTCACGCAGGTGTTCCTCTTGTCCAGGTGGGAAAGGGCAGTGTGGAGTGCAATAGAGATTGCATCATCTGTGGATCTGTTGGGGCGGTATGCAAATTAGAGTGGGTCTAGGGTTTCTGGGATAAAGGTGTTGATGTGAGCCATGACCAGCCCTTCAAAGCACTTCATGGCTACAGACGTGAGTGCTACGGGTCGGTAGTCATTTAGGCAGATTATCTTAGTGTTCTTGGGCACAGGGACTATGGTGGTCTGCTTTAAACATGTTGGTATTACAGACTCATTCAGGGACATGTTGAAAATGTCAGTGAAGACACTTGCCCATTGGTCAGCGCATCCTCAGAGTACACGTCCTGGTAATCCGTCTGGCCCTGCAGCCTTGTGAATGTTGACCTGCTTAAAAGTCTTACTCACATCGGCTACGGAGAGTGTGATCACATAGTCACCCGGAACAGCTGATGCTCTCATGCATGCTTCAGTGTTGCTTGCCTCGAAGCGAGCATAGAAGTGATTTAGCTCGTCTGGTGGGCTCGTGTCACTGGGCAGCTCGCGGCTGTGCTTCCCTTTGTAGTCTGTAATAGTTTGCAAGCCCTGCCACATCCAACGAGCATCGGAGCTGGTGTAGTACGATTCAATCTTAGTCATGTATTGACTCTTTGCCTGTTTGATGGTTCGGCTGAGGGCATAGCGGGATTTCTTATAAGCGTCCGGGTTAGAGTCCCACTCCGTGTAAGCGGCAGCCCTACACTTTAGCTCAGTGCGGATGTTGCCTGTAATCCATGGCTTCTGGTTAGGGTATGTATGTACAGTCACTGTGGGGATGATGTCATCGATGCACTTATTGATGAAGCCAGTGACTGATGTGGTGTACTCCTCAATGCCATCGGAAGAATCCCGGAACATATTCCAGTCTGTGCTAGCAAAACAGTCCTGTAGTTTAACATCTGCGTAATCTGACCACTTCCTTATTAACCGAGTCCCTGGTGCTTCCTGCTTTAGTTTTTGCTTATACGCAGGAATCAGGAGGATATAATTATGGTCAGATTTGCCAAATGGAGGACGAGGAGAGCTTGGTGGTCTAGAGTTTTTTCCCCTCTGGTTGCACATTTAACATGCTGGTAGAAAAGAGGTAAAACAGATTTAAGTTTCTCTGAATTAAAGTTCCCGGCCACTGGGAGCGCTGCCTCTGGATAAGTGTTTTCCTGTTTGCTTATGACCTTATACAGCTCATTGAGTGCAATCTTAGTGCCAGCATCGGTTTGTGGTGGTAAATAGACAGCTATGAAAAATATAGAAGAAAACTCTCTTGGAAAATAGTGTGGTCTACAGCTTATCATGAGATACTCTACCTCAGGCGAGCAAAACCTCAAGACTTCCTTAGTATTAGATTTTATGCACCAGCTGTTGTTTACAAATATACACAGACCGCCACCCCTTGTCTTACCGGAGTCTGCCGTTCTATCCTGCTGATGTAGCGTATATCCCGCCAGCTAATAGGATTGATGGAAGAGGCAGATTACTTGCTCGCCGTTGGATCCTTACAAGGCACCCCGACCTACGTCCACGATATCTCCGTCTCTTTCTCAGAGAGTGACGGGGATTTGGGCCTTGTCGGGTGTCTGTAGAATATCCTTTGCGTACGACTTGTTGAAGAAAAAATCTTCGTCCAATACGAGGTGAGTAATCACTGTTCTGATATCCAGAAGCTCTGGCAGAAACATTATGTACAAAATAAATGACAAATAACGCGAAAAAACACACATAATAGCACAATTGGTTAGAGGGCCGTGAAACGGCAGCCATCTCCTCCGGCGCCATCTTTCTGGTCAAGATGTTGTTATTCAATGAAAGAACCCAGCTTTAGAAACAAGTTAAACAACTTACCTTGTATTAAAACAGTGAATAACTATGAACATACCACTGAATGAATAGCCCATTCTCTGGGTATTTTGTGTCTTCCTCCCTCCAGCCTTCCTTATTGGTGCACGTGGTGATGTAGACTACATGACCAAAAGTATGTGGACACCTGCTTGTCTAACATCTCATGGGCATTAATATGGAGTTGGTCCCCCCTTTGCTGCTATAACAGCCTCCACTCTTCTGGGAAGGCTTTCCACTAGATGTTGGAACATTGCTGCGGGACTTGCTTCCATTCAGCCACAAGAGCATTAGTGAGGTCGGGCACTGATGTTGGACGATTAGGCCTGGCTCGCAGTCGGCGTTCCAATTCATCCCAAAGGTGTTGGATGGGGTTCAGGTCAGGCTCTATGCAGGCCAGTCATGTTCTTCCACACCGATCTCGACAAACCATTTCTGTATGGACCTCGCTTTGTGCTTTGTGCACGGGGGCATTGTCATGCTGAAACAGGAAAGGGCCTTCCCCAAACTGTTGCCACAAAGTTGGAAGCACAGAATCGTCTAGAATGTCTTTGTATGCTGTAGCGTTCCCCTATACTGGAACTAAGGGGCTTAGCCCAACCCATGAAAAACAGCCCCAGACCATTATTCCTCCTCCACCAAACTTTACAGTTGGCACTATGCATTTGGGCAGGTAGTGTTCTCCTGGCATCCACCAAAACCAGATTCGTCTGTCGGACTGCCAGATAGTGATACATCACTCCAGAGAACGCATTTCCACTGCTCCAGAGTCCAATGGCGGCGAGCTTTACACCACTCCAGCCAACGTTTGGCATTGCGCATGTTGATCTTAGGCTTGTGTGCGGCTGCTCGGCCATCGAAACCCATTTCATGAAGCTCCCGACTAACAGTTCTTGTGCTGACGTTGCTTCCAGAGGCAGTTTGGAACTCGGTAGTGAATATTGCAACCGAGGACAGACGATTATTACTCACTACGCGCTTCAGCACTCGACGGTCCTGTTCTGTGAGCTTTTGTGGCCTACCACTTCGCAGCTGAGCCATTGTTGCTCCTAGATGTTTCCACTTCACAATATAGTAGCACTTACAGTTGACCGGAGCAGCTATAGCAGGGCAGAAATTTGACGAACTGACTTGTTGGAAAGGTGGCATCCTATAACGGTGCCACGTTGAAAGTCACTCAGCTCTTCAGTACGGGCCATTCTACTGCCAATGTTTGTCTATGGAGATTGCATGGCTGTGTGCTCAATGGGTGTGGCTGAAATAGCCAAATCCACTAATTTGAATGGGTGTTCACATACTTTTGACCATGTAGTGTATCTGTACTATGGGCTAGCAGCCCTGGGGCCTCACATGCAGAGATATCTTTGGTGGAAGCGCTACCTCACCTCCCTGCAGCTGGTGAGTAGAGTGGCCTTGATGCAGAGCCTCTGCTACAGTATGGCCGCCTCCCAAATGGCACCCTATAACCTATTATAGAGCACTAATTTTGGCCAAGACTCATAGGGGAATAGGGTGCTATTTGGGAAGCACCCGTACAGTACATCCTAGAGTCTAGATAATACTTAATTTACATTTACTGTATATCATGTAAAAGCAGGGTTTACCAACCCTCTCCTCGCACCTTAAAGTGCTTTAACCTTCAGTGTTTTGTCAGGATGCTAGGCTAATTAGCCTGTGGATGATCTGTTCATTGGAAGAAGCCTTGTTAAAGGTCCAATGCAGCCATTTTTATCTCAATATCAAATAATTTCTGGGTAACAATTAAGTACCTTACTGTGATTGTTTTCAATTAAAATGCGAAAAATAAATGGGGAAAAAATGCTTCTTAGCAAAGAGCAATTTCTCAAGCAAGATTTTTGCTAGGACCGTCTGAGAGTGGTTTGAGTGTGTGGGGGAACACTGAACATGAGCTGTTATTGGCAGAGGTTTTGAACTCTCTTTCTTATTGGTCTATTAACTAATTTTACCGCATGTTGATCTCACCATGGAAGGCCAAAACTCCTTCTCACCAAAACAGTCTGAAATCTAGAGAGGCCAGTGTATAATTGTTGTGCCAAGACAATAGGATAGCATGTATTGAGCGTTAGTGCGACTTCATACCTTGTTTGTTTAAGTTTCCTGATTTGGTCCTGATGTTTGTATTAATTGTTTGGAAAATACGTTAACTCTGTTTATGGGCTCTACAACTGTATAGTTCCAATGTAGTCACACTAGAAGCCCACAACTGAGCTTTCTTCTTATTGACACTGGTTATGTTGACCCTTTGTGACCCCAGCTCCACTTCTTCATAGTGACCATCCACACCAGCTACAACCTGTTCACTGACTGCAACATCCCAGACTCCATGAACGCTGTGGTGTTTGCCTACTCCCTCAGCCTCATCACGCTCTTCAGAAACTTCTAGTACAAGAGCTACCTTAACAAGAAGAGCAAACAGACATGAGAAAGAGATGCAGAGGCAAATGTTACAGATTTTGTCATGTCATTAATACTGTATTTAAAATAAAATAAAATTGATCTATTTATTGACCAATCATGTTTAAGTAAAGCAGGTCTCTATCTTCTGGACCAAAGCCTCTGTTTCTGTTCTAGCCTTCCCTCCCACCTGTGGTATAACAAACACACACAGACCCCCAGAGCAAGCCCTCTCCCGTTCCCTCCCATCCCCCCTTTGGTCATTAGGGATGAAGTCTCAGCCACACTCTGGCGACTCTGCCTAATTGAAATAAACCCGAGCAGGCCTCCTGGTCTAGATTCCACTTATTTATCTAATCTCCCTCTGTGACACTTCATTTGTCTTAGGAGTCATTGGCTGGGAGGTAAGCCAATCGCCAGTCAGCAGGCAGTCTAAAACTGCCCCCTGAGCCCCTCCTACTCCCTCCTTGTCACTGTTCTGTGAGGATTCCCAGTAACCCCCCTTCCTCACCCGTCACCTCCTGTCCCATCCTCCCTCCTGTTCCCCTAACATTCACAACAGTACACCAGGGACCCAAGATTAGATGCTCATCAATTGGCTTCACCCTCTCTCTAGCTGAAACAGCCCACCATTTTTAAAGGGACACACAGTCAGATGATTTTTGTGTTTTGACGGCAACAAGAACACATTTTACATTTTTTGCAATTCTACACATTTTGCCATGGGACGTAGAGAAAATGTTGCCATTTTAAAGATGCATAAGGTAAACAGCATAGTGGGTAAAAGCACAAGGCTCAACTTCTCCTCTGTTTTGGTGCTCTGGCTACTACACTGTGGTTTGAGAGCGAAGTCTTGCATCTCGCTCATCCCAATATCTGTGGTGCTGCTCATGGCAATGACATTTTGCTGAGTCTTCCTTTAAGGCAAGTTTTCTGCAATTTTACACATTTTGCAATGGGACGGAGAGAAAATGTTGCAATTTCATAACTAATTTCATGCAATTCTACTCGTTTTGCCATGGGACGGAAAGAGAAATGTGCAGTTTCACAGATAAATTACTACAATTCTACACATTTTCCCATGGGGTGGAGATCTTTTTTTTTGCAGTGTTAAAGCTAATTTCCTGAAATGTACATGGCAGGTTAATATGATATCTGAGTGAAAGTGACTAACAAAATCATTGGGGGGCACCTGGAGGTCAGGATAGCTGGCTGCTAGACTATAACAAAAAAAATGTTAGCTGACATGGGCTAATTGACTGTCAGTGATTGACATAACAAAATAAAAATTGCTAATGCACAACCACATTTCGAAACTGCATCTTGTGTATTCTACTATTCTAACTCTCAACAGTAAATTGAGACCCTGACTGAAACCCCCCCAAAAAACATGCGGCCGGGGGCCCTAAGTGACCTCTTATGTTACTTATGCCTGGGGCCGTCCCTGAACCTGGATGTGTAACTCTCATTCTCACACCATTCATGGATGCTGGAAAACGACGTAGCTCAGTGCTCAGTCTGTTGTGTTGAATTGCATGCCAGATGTCTTAAAAAGCTGTTCAACAACATTCACTGAGAGGACAATCGCGCAGGCACTGTGACGTCTTTGTGACACATGTCACGACCAAGGACAGAGGGGCTTTGTGGCCCCATGTAAAGTAGCCAGTTCTAAATGTCTCTCATAGATACAGCTGTGTAGATTTACAGACCATATGCTGCTGGTGAGTTGACCATTGTTTTCCTCGCAAGTATATAGTGTCACATCTCATACCCCACAGCTGATTGCCAGAAGCACATTTGGACATATTTTGTCACTGGAATCAGCTCTGTAGTATTGCTCTGGGGGCATGTGTCCTCCAACAGAGATATTTGAGAGGAGCAATATATTGTTGTCAGTCTTCAACCCCAGCCATCCAACACCACATGCTCATGGCTGTGCTAGTGCCACTGAGTTTACAGTCTGAAAACAAACCCTTGAGTCTCCTTACAACACATTGTCTGTGCAAACTGCAGATAAATGATAGCTAGTATTTTCCACCACTCTCATTTTAATCAGTTTGACACAGCCGACACTCCTCCTTGGCTCCCTAAGCCTGTTACATATTATCTGACAAGATATCCTCTTGGAACTTGTCTTTTAATGTGACTTGTCTGGGAGAATGAAGTGGTCTACAGCTGCAGTGATTTACAGCAGAGGCCACCCCTCAACGTTTGTCCACTGACTGTTTGTGCAATAAACAAGTGACAGGTTCTTGGGTGTTCAGTTAAATGTCACTTTCCCCGTGAGACGGGAGATGAAGGTCATCCTTTAACGCCACTGTCACTTTAAGTATCGGCGGCTTCCTCTCCTGCTGCCGATTGATAAGGGGAATTGAAAGCGGATGAAAGCACATTACTTTGTGGTGGAGAGAGGTTGGACGGAATGAGAATCTCTCCCCTAACTCCCTCCTCTGTTTCTCCCTCTCTTTGTTTCGCCCTTTCTTTAGTTTAGCATGTCACGGTTGTGACTGATATAAAGGGAGCCATCTTACATTCAATGGCTGGTGCCAAATTATTTGGGATTGAGAAAGTGGTCCTCTGTAGCTCAATTGGTAGAGCATGGCGCTTGTAACGCCAGGGTAGTGGGTTCGATCCCCGGGACCACCCATACGTAAAAATGTATGCACACATGACTGTAAGTCGCTTTGGATAAAAGCGTCTGCTAAATGGCATATTATTATTATATTATTTGAATAATTTGTGTGCTGTCCCCAGCTACTCTATGCTGTTCTACATGTACAGTGCCTTCGGAAAGTATTCATACTCTTGACTTATTCCACATTTAGTTGTGTTACAGTCTGAATTCAAAATGCATTAAATAAATAAAACATTTCTCACCCATCTGCACACAATACCCCATAATGACAAAGTGAACACGTTTATATACATTTTTGCATATTTATTGAAAATGAAATACATAAATATCTCATTTACATAAGTATTCACACCGCTTTGCTATGACACTCCAAAATATATATTTAATCAATTTTAAATTCAGACTGTAACACAATGAAATGTGAAATAAGTCAAGGGGTATGAATACTTTCTGAAGGCACTGTAGGTATACTGTAAAACAAACATAACTATGCTTCACATATCAAAAACAACATTAATTATATTTGCTAAAATATGATTGTTTTCTAAAAATCCATCCACTATGCACCGAAAAAGTCGTATTTGTTGTACAAGCTAAAAGCCTAAACCTCAAACAAGATAAGAACTCATATTCACGAGTCTCTCTCACATCTAGACATGGCGACATTATCTTTTGAATAAAATTACTCACAGATCAACAAACATACACCACTTACGGCGACAAGAGGGAAAAAAACACAACCACTGACAGCAAGGGAAAGTGATGATGTAGAGGCACTTGTAAGTTAGTTTGGTAGGCTCCCCAGTAACACCAAGTAGCACCTTGTCTGTAGACTGTAATTAGTAATCACTTAAAGTGGTGGTGAGCCCTCCTTAGCCAGGCCAGCCAGTAATCACAAAGTCAGTGAGAGGGGCTGGAGAATGAGCGGCTGATGATGGTGCTTGAGGTGAGCGACTAGTTTCAGACAAAGAGGGTTAACAAGAGGGTGAGCAATCTCAGCTAGTGCTTTCATTTCAGCTTCTTGTTTCAGCCAGCCAACCAGCTAGCACTTGTAAAGGGGTCAGTACAGGGCACTCGTAAAGGGGTCAGTACAGGGCATAAGGTATGTATGAGCATGCTAAAGAGGTCCATATAGACATGGATGGAAATTGTTTTGTTGAAACAAGAGTTTATCATTTGGTTCCTAATGGAAGCGGCTTAAGATGGATATCCCTACACGCACACACACACACACACACGCACACGCACACACACACACACACACACACACACGCACACACACACTAAGCCTGATTAACATCTCAGTCATGTGTGTGCGGATGAGTCAGCCTCTCTGTGTGTGAAAGCTGAAAGCGACACAGTGGGGATGCTGCAGTCATCATTTAAGGCCTGTTTCATGTGACTAGGAGAGGAGAGCACCAGTCTGAATACAACATACCATACACACAGACAGACTTGGCAGACCTGAGAGGCCACTCCGCTCCATCTCAACTCTTTCCTGTTTGCAATCACAACACTGAATTTAAAACAGGTGTGGATCATTCTCACTACTCTGGATTGGGTCGATGTGACTGTGAATAGCAAATTTGACTCACAAACTTTCCCCCGGCTATCAAAGGATTGGCAATTTAATGTTCTGCTAAGTCAGGCTCAAGCTGATATAGCGTGACATTTGGAAGCTCATCACTCATTCATTGATTGCATTATATCTCACCGGACATGCCCTAGAATTGTGTTTGGGGTTGACCCTTTGTAAAAAGAGAAGCACCATCTGTTTCAACCCCCCCCCCCCCCCCCCCCCCCACACACACACACACACACATTTGTGTTATTACACTATGTAGGTGTCATGGTTGTACCTTTTATGGGGGGGATGTCTGATGAACAATACAAAATGGCTGCCGAAGGGCTAGAAAGGCTCCTAATCTAGCATCTTGTTTACCTCTTGTAGAACCCTCATAGAACAGTGAGACAAGTAAGCCACCTTCAGCCCACCATCATATTTAATAATTCCCCACATATTAGCAGTCTTCAGTGGTCTAATATCAGTAGTGCTCTAATGCAGCACACCGCCTGGCCTCCCTCTGTGTTCAGATTTTCATCAGCAGCTGTGCTGTCAGGTTCAATTCCAATGTGCAGACAGCTCGTCTGCCACATACACTCCCCCAAACACACACACTCACATACACACCCACACAGAAACATAGCAAACAAGAACATGCACACACGCTTAAAGTGGTCCTTTATGTACCCTGTAGCCTTACCAAATCACCATCAAACAGACACCGCTCCTTTGTGGTGTTATTGTCACACCAAACGTGATGCAGAGCCTCACGCCACAGACACAGTAGGCC